TCAAATCATTTCTTTTTATTTACTTTTTAAAATACAGATCGAAATTTGATGTTGTCTTGGTATTTACTAGTCACGATGTACATCTTTGTCATTCTTTAATGAACATCTTTCGAAGTCACCAATCTCACCCCTTTTCATGAGACTTTCTATTCCAAGTTGTTATAGCAAATACATGAACAATCACACATTGAATTTAGTGCATTAGGTTTATGTTCTAAAAAGAAATATTTTGCTGGCACTCTTTCAAAGCAGCATCACTACAATATAAAATACGGTACGGTATCTTAGGATTACGGAATAATGAGGAGTGGAGGACAATGAAACAGGAACGAAATGAACAGCTAGAACACAAAATAGGGAGAGACAGAGTAAGACATATGGGAGTTAGAACACAAAATAGGGAGAGACAGAATAAGAAATATGAAGACACATATTAACAGGAACGAAATGAACAGCTAGAACACAAAATAGGGAGAGACAGAATAAGAAATATGAAGACACATATTAACAGGAACGAAATGAACAGCTAGAACACAAAACGGGGAGAGACAGAATAAGAAATATGAAGACACATTAACAGGAACGAAATGAACAGCTAGAACACAAAACGGGGAGAGACAGAATAAGAAATATGAAGACACATATTAACAGGAACGGGAAAACAACGTGAAAAGAAAGAACGGGAAATCGGAAAACATGAATGATAAAAAGAAACAGACGCTTAACCTTACAGGAAAAGAAAATAAATAAAGAGATAGGAAAACTACCAAGGAAGAGAGCAAAATGAGTAAAAAATCCCACCAGTTCCAGGAATTACGCAAATTTTAACAGCAAGTCTGTCATGCAGCAAATTTTAAAATCCGTCAAAAAAACGCAAAGACCACAATTATATTACAATATGAATGTATAATGTATCAAGGTATAATACAATACAATACAATACAATACAATACAATACAAAATACAATACAATGATTTTATCAATTTGTCACCTGTCCATATCAGATATACACAATACATTAGAAATAAAAAAAAATACAGTTTGCATTGAAATACATTGCCACCCAGACAATTAGACCAATGAGACACAATAAATGAATGCGTTCTCTTAAAGGTAAGTAAAACAGGATGTTCTGTGGTACATCAAATATAGGAAGAAGCTACAAGTTTATGGTAATATTTATTTCCTTCCTATATCACACTGTATAATGGGTTAGGTATCTGTTCGTGTATATAATTAAATCACATACCTGATTTCGCGCGTTTCTCGTAATCCAATCCATTGCTCAAAGCAAATATTCAAACATCGAGAAAATACATGATTCGAGAAGAGGAAAACGTCCTAGTCTGAATGTCAGCAGGTATACTGCCAGCTAAAACGTTTTTGTCTAAACATATATGGAATGTAGTTCGGGAAAAATGACCAGGCTGGAGACGCTCTGGTCAAGTAGCGCTAAATGACATGGTCATTTATAAATATATTGGAAAAACGTTGGCGTGGACACAACACATCACTCACCAGGTCTTCACGACATGTTCGACTAATGTGTCACGTGATTATACGTTTAGAGTCACACGTGCATGTGAATGAACGTATCGCTGAATAAACATCGATGTAAACTGTATACCATGTTCTGGAAATTTGGCAAAATATGCACAAATATATATATATATATCTATATAAATAAACAGAAGTATGTACAGCGTTATGAGTGTTTGTCGCTTTACACTGAATATACACAGGGGCATTAGAACTACTTCTCTACAGCTTTTTTTATGTTTGATTAATTGTGTGGTCAACACAGAAAATCTTGTGCAGTAATGTTCAGGTATGTCTGTTCTGCGTCAGCTGTCAGAGTGACACACACGGACACTCGGACACTAACTCAGTTCTGTTGTTCTGTTGACCACGTCGTTAGTGCCTTTACAATTTTTTGTCTCCATTTTTGTGACTGTCGATCTATTAATTCTCACCGATGGATACATGATAACATGGAATATGTGGTTTCACATGTCCCCGCCCCCTACTTTGGCTGAAATGTTCATAGTAACGTACTATCTAAATAAGTTTAAATATATTCTCTCTCTCTCTAGAAGTATATACACATACCCACTTCTCGAATAGTAACGGAAAGTTTTAAAGTTCATTCTTTGCACATAAAATGGTACGACTCAAATACTGTTGAAGGCATTGCTCCTTTATACCCGGGTATGCAGTGGTTATTTTCCACATACTTCCCATTTTTTCTTAATCACGTCGTGCCCTTAGTGAATAACATTAATAAAAAAATCACGAAAAAGTCTTGTATCTACTAAAAGTGGAAACGACCAAAATTACATTGCAAATTGAGGAAAAGTAGCGATATTCAATTCATGATATCACAGTACAAGTGACGTCATCAAGTCGTGACGTCATAATCAAACTGCAACAATAAAAAGGTTTTCCAACTCTATAGTATCTCTGCCTAGATGTCATGGGATTTCCATTGAAAGATTGAATTTTTGATAAAACTGTCGATACGACATATATCATAAATACTCCTATCGCCTATGTAAGATATGACGCCTCAATGCGGAAATTTTATTTACGCAAGCAACCAAAGATGTCTGCCTGACGGATTTGATAATAAAAAAGACGTGTTTTTGTAACACTATGTCCCCGTGGCAACACAATTCTAAAGTACATTGAAACAGTACTGTGTTATGCATGTGCTAATTGCATGCACACTTTTTGAAACACTTATGTCTTCAGTTTGGTAATTAATTTTTTTTTCACTTTAAAATGTAGGTCGAAGGTCATGATCAAGGTCACATGGTCAAAAAGTCTTGTCACACATACCAAATATTAAAGTCCTACCTGTTCCGATGCAATAATTATGGCCAATGTTAAAGAAGGTCAAAGGTCACGGTCAATGTAGAATAATTTGATATCTCCGGAAATGTGTTGTTACAAGGAACAATGACGCCAAATATGAAAGCCCTACCTATTACGGTGCAATAGTTATGGGCAAGGTTAAAGTTGATCTTTCGATCCGGGGGCATAAAATTACCTTTCAAATAAAACGTTATCGCATATCTGAAACTACCTTTAAAAACTACTCGATTTCTAAGAACTATCCTGGCACCAGTGTGATTCATGATCTCATGACGAATACTATGGTGATGGCCGTAACGTCATAGCAATATTATGACGTCATAATCCCTAAAACTAATAATGTGTTATTATTAATTGACTAATGTCAATGGTTTGTTAATTTACCCCAAAACTAAATATGAATTCTTAATATTTCTTCACTAGCAATGTCAATATCGGTATAGAACTGCGTTTAAGTAACTTTTTAATGCCACCTGTAGATATTTTAAGTCGTACTCAGGTTTATGTTGCAGGTATATATCTCTGTACAGAGTTCAGTTTGATCTTCTTTCTTGACATTACCTGAATCTGAAACACTGTGAGGTCCACTATCTCCTGTCTGCAGTAATCTGTTTCTTCTTGTACAAACATACCGCCATTAATTCCGAAAAAGAAATCACTTCCATTTGTACTTTCACAGTCCGAATCATGATGACCATCCATAGCAAGATTTCCATGACCAGAGTTTGGTCCACTTTGACGAGCTCAACTCGGACCTTACTCACACTGCAGTAGGGCATCTGGTCACCTCTACGCAAATGCCAAGTCAGGCCTAAAGGCGCAAATGGCAGTTGTGAAGTAAGGCATGAAATCGAGCTGACCATTGACGGACGATAACAGTTTTACAGTATTGGCTAACAAGTATCTATCTTTAGATGTTCCAAAGAATTACGATAAGATAAGAACGTGGATAAAATTATTTGGCTAAATGATCAAAGTTTCCAGTCTTAGACTATTTGAAGGAAAATCCTCTTTTTTTCCTCTGTGGTTACGTCAACATATGCCAAGAGCATCAAAAATCTCTGCTTGCTCTGCTGTTTCATGCAAAATGTATGTCCTATCATACAGTAACTTATCAACTAATGTATATTTCAGGATGGTGTTTTAGCAACACTAAAAACATGTAACATGACTTCAAAGGTCACATGTTTCTAATAGTTATTATAAATAGATAATAGTAATATTCTGTACAATTGTAATATAACATTCAATCGAAGGTTACATTTCCGGGTCAATTGTCATGTGATTGTATCGCCTACCTATTAATGTCCGTATCCAGCTAACTAGAGCCTCCGGCTTGGCATGTGGCGACACTTATCAGCATTATCTATTTAATGATGAGATATATATATGGAAAATCTGAAAGAATTTATTAGCAATATATCCTCCTGTATAGAAAATGACAAGATCTATAATTAAACATGGATTTGAGAGAGCAAGGCAGACATGTATTTAGACTATGTAAAAGGTGACAATCGGACACGAGATTTTGTTAAACCCTCATTTATATAAATACAATAATTCATCGTGTAAATTATTTAAAAGAAGTAATGTTTGAATGTGTTTGGCAGTTTTTTGTTTATTATTCTGTATGAAGCTTGACATAAGGCAGGATATCTACATATTTTGTCAAGCGTCCCTGAGAGCATGCTCAAAATAACCAACCAATCAGATTTGTAGGCGTTAGAGCGAAGCACATCTCTATAAAGGGGATGTCCATGTTATGAATGTGTTGACATTCCAGAAAGTTCGAAATGGTGTGCATTTTGGATTTAGATGACTTCTCGTGGAGGATAATTGCATACTGTCTAAATGTTGGTAGTGAATGGAACGCATCCATTTTTTAATGATGTCCGGTATGTTTTGTACACTAATATAAATACGGTTTTTGACTTAATACTGCCACATTCTAGTATTTCATTTTGTTTTTTAATTGCACAGGATTTTATTCTGAATACTTGCATAATATGATTCTATTCCTTAAACTGGGTCCAAACATGCAGCATGAAACCAATTATCCGAATATATATAAATATTTATTTTCAGAAAATGAATACTTATGTTGCAAATAAAACAGAGCTTAACAAACGATGCAAATTTTATTTAAACACACTTCTCAACATTTCGAATATGAATCCAATCATTTGGATATTGTAACAAAAAGATTAATAAAATAATTTTATTGCATGATGATTTACACCACATGACTAAAACATTCATTCAAAACGGTAAATTAGAATATCAAAGACAAATTTTATATAAGAAATCCGAGGATATACATGTATAAACACGGGTCCATCTGTCTGTTTACTGACTTCGTTTTATACATAAATTTCCAGAAACAACACTATCGCATATTTCTGTATCTCACAAAAAGTGTCCAGCCAATTTTTGTATGTTATTGAGACGACTGTTCTATATAACCGAAACTGAAATCAGAATACAAGGTAAACTACTTTGTCCCATCATCAACAAGATCTCCTTAGTGTAGGACATACTTACATGTATTACAAGCAAAATGAGGACTTGTTTTCATTTTTTATTTCAATTCGATATCTGATATTTTTGAAGTGAATTCTATATATACAATATGTATCGATACAAAGTTAACGGAGTGTTTTTTCCAGACTTATAGCAATGTTTGACAGAATATTCATCAATTATCGACATTTCTTGAGGAGGATCAATTATTCTATGTACCTGATATGAATTGTAAAATCTGTAAAACATTCCAAGTTGTTATCATATTCAGAACGTTATCAACCTCATCTTTATGGAAATAAAAGTAGTGGTGCTGTAGCTTTGATTACAATAAAATGTATACGACAATAATGACATTGTTTACAGCATAAATGTGAAAATCTGCCTCTGTAATTGGTGTCGTTAGTGCAGGGATTTTCCTTAACGTATTGATTGCAAGCGATAAAAAGAATGAAAGATACATGTTAAAAATAGTTAACTCTTAATCAAAATTGATGAATCGAGGGCGGATATTAGGGTGTTATCCAACTCGCAAATAAGTTCATACATTTAATATCAATACCAACTCAAGTGTTTAAATCCAGTTATCACAATCCGATCACGTGACAAGTCCCATGTGTAATGTTCTATGACGTAATAACACCGATGTGCGATGTTTCATCACGTGACTAGTCAGATGTCAAATGCACAATCACATGACTATTGCAATGTCCAATGTTTCATCACGTGACCAGTCCGGTGTTTAATGTATCATCAAGTGACTTTCACTTTAGGTTTTCCCTAATAGCTGACAGGGAAGTGTTGTACATTGCCGAACAAAGTTCATCTTGATCCCGGAAAGACGATATGGTTGATCCGGTACTGACATGGGCCTGGCTGGCGACAATGACCTTGGCCTTTCCTTCTCTAGATCTGGGATGTATACACTTCTTTACCATATCATTTTCTGTATCTGTGATTAAAAAGTATTTTAATAATCTTACATATTCGTGAAAGATAACGTTACTTATTACACTATTCTCCATTACCCACGAAAAAGCTCCCCTCCCCCCTCCTCTCCCCCCCCCCTACATTGTCCTGTATAAACACATTGTAAGAAGTATACCGTACCTCCAGATTCGAAAATTACACCATTTGTGTGACATTTTCCCTCCTATATTTATGTCTGTTTACTCACGGAAATGTGTATTTCATGACTGGAAAACAACACGATACCTTAACTGTTACATAGCGTATGTCACATTATAGGTTTTTATTGATATTTTTTTCTTACGATTCGTATTTTCGTCATTTCAAGACGGAAAAATTTCCTCGAAACAAACTCATACCATTCAATATCTTCTTTGCCTAAACAAACTAAACAAAATAATACAAAGGACGGAACCTTCCAGAAATACATTTATCAAAAATTAAAACTGTAAGTTGCGATTCGAAAATCATTAGACACTGAAAACGGAGAGAACATTGTGATTATTACTGGAAGAGTGGTATCGTACAAAACACACACAACAGAGAATATATGTAAATCTCCTACCGTTGCCTTTGTAACCACACCCGGGACAGTCAGGGGCGTCACACTTGTGTTTCTGTTTTGATTTCGGTGTTCGTCTTCTGTTCGGAGGACGGATGGTGGACGGATAAGGAGACTTCCCACATCTGTAACATTCACTTCGAGTCACTCCCATCTGACCGAAACCACTGAATAAAAAGGGGAAAAAATGAAACTATATTAACCATAGCTTGTATAAGAGTTCAATATTTTTAACACATGACAAAACACACCACCATGCAGTATATCGTAACATAATATTCAACAACTTCTTCACACTAAGGCAAAAGTAACAAGAAAATATCAACATGTAAACACAATCTTAATCCAAACCCCAATTAGCTTAAACTAGGGTAAAATATGAGCAAATGAAAGATTTACATGGTAAATCCTTAAAGATTACAAGGAGATTTAGACCAGGGGTTCCGGAAGAGTAAGCGTCTTCTGATTCATTGACACAACTACAGCTTCCTACACAATTAGAGAACAGTTGTATACATAGAATCAATAATCAATATACACAGACATACTTACCTAAACTCTTTGCCACATTCACACTTGAATATTGCCCAACCCCACATCATTTCTTTGGGTATTGGATCATACTTGGATCTGCAGAGTTTACACTTCGAGACCTTTTGTTTTTTTTTAAAAACCAAGAAAAAATCCATAAGGTGAACAATCAATATAAGACTTTTAACCAAACCTAAAAACGATCATTGTCGTCCCAATCGGCTATCAAGATTACCATCTGACAGAGTAAAACAAAGGGAAGTAACTTTGAGAGATTATGTCTATCTGACAACTTACAATAAATTCTATAAGGCACAGCTTATTGCATAGAAATATTTATAACTCTCCTGTCCATGTACTGATATTATATTATCCTATTTTTGTCTGGAAATCAAACAACAGGATCCAATAGAAAGCCGAATGAGAATTTTCGAACTGATTATTATTGTAATTGTTTACAGTTCGTATGCCTAAGAAAGAGAAAATAATGAAGCAAAATTAATTCATTGTTTACATGTTTCCGCTCTCAGGGTATGAGTGAACTCATCCAAACTTCTCTTGTATATACTGATCAATGTAAGTACAGGAGTATGAATTAAAAAGTTTTGTTTCCAATGTCTTGATAATTCGTAATCTGATCCCATAGCACTCAGATTTACCCAATGTCTACCAGAGTTGCCGTTCCTTAACAGTCATAATAATAGGACTAAGATCACAATTAAATACTTCCGGGTTCAGTACCCACGAATGAAGTCCCTAAAAAATGTATGTATATTAGGGAAAAAAATAATATGCCTCTTTGAATTGGATGTTTGCCTATAAATTTGATGTAGATGTGTTATAGATGTGATAATCTAACTGTCAGTGTGTAAATCATTCATATTGAACATGTATATTGTGCTGCAGGGTCCGGTGTAAAAAGTCCTGTTTTCACCTTTACCCCAGATCCGGATGTATATAATTGACGTTTGTGACACACATGGAGGTAGATCTCCAGAAAATGCCCAACATGATGGGTTGAAACATTTACATTTTGCTTCTCAGATGTTGATCTTGGCCAGGTGAAATGGAAATTTGCAGATGAAACTTTGGGACTTAGTTATGAATTTTAATGTTACAATGAAACATATAGTGAAATTAATTGTGGTCTTATTCCAATATATTATAGGGGTACCGCAATGCACTCTGGGAGAGAGTGAAATTGATCTAGTCCGTTGTATTTCTGGTAGGTACAATATACTGATCGAGCGATGTCAATCAAAATTACGGAATTTTGTACAAACGGAACGAAAATAAGTATTTTTTTCGAAGTAACAAAAACATCTCCTGTATATATAATTACCGGCTTGTTGATCGGCACACTGCTCCACCAGACCTGATCACATGGTTCACACGCAAATTGTCTCATGGCTGTTGTCAATCCTTTCGAAACAGACCTAACCATGTCTTCATCTTTCTTGACCTCCGAATTCTCATCCTAAATGAAAATTGAATATAAAGAAAGTAATTAGTTTGCTAAACAAAAAAGGAATTGGTACTGGAAAAACTAACTTTGTTCATCGTCGCTCGATTGTAATTTTTTATCAAATTAAGTAAAATGATAGACATGAATAACTATCTCTCCATAAATTGCAGATTAAGCAAGCATTATACTTAAAACATTGTTTAGAATTGTTTCATTACCCCCAAAAGTCGAAGTATCAGTTTGCGCACGTCACTTGGTTCACCTGTAAATTAATGAAACTCGTGCATAGAATCAAGATAATACTTCATCAATTTCTGATAAGATTTCCTTCAGGGCTAGTGCTGGTCCAGGTTTACTTCCAAGTGTAAACTAGTATTGTACATATAGAACTGAAATTGTACAGTTTTTTAAACGAAGAAAGTTGTGAAAAATTCGAAACAGAGATATATCAAAGTCAGGTAACGACACATAAATAAAACCATTGGATATGAAACGCAATGTTTATCAATACATCTCCTTTTCAACTTAGTCTTGCATCAAGAAACTTATTGTGTATATATATTGATATATATCTTTGTGAACTTGAGAGTTCGTTACTGAGTGATTATCATAAAATATGTCGTTTAAACCAGGAGAAGATAGAGAAAAATTCAGGTTATTTTCACAAGATAAGAAGAAACTGGTATAGAATGAAGCATAAAGGAAATGATAGGGATTCAAAGCGCCTACTGCCATTTATCAACCACGAAGGAGAACTGTTCAGTTAACGGAGCCACAACTATTTCTACATTGAAACTAAATATCCTTTTCATGAAAAACATTTTTTAAATGTTCAGTAATTACAGACAGTACTAACTTTCCTGTATGAAGTTAATTGTCTTTCGGTCGTCCCAGTCGTGGTGTTGGAGCAGACATTTTGCCTCCGCCTGATCGTATCTATCTCCGTATAACTTGTGCAGCGTTGCAATCTATACATACAATTTTGTATAATAAATCATAAGAATAGTTTGAAAATATATCTTACTGGGAACGTGATTTCACAATTATATCTAAAGAGAGCGCAATTCTGAACATTTGGTTTGAGTACACGAAACCATCGTCAGATCTAGACTTGTCTCCATTGCAAAACTTCTTCATAGCAATACGAGTAATATACATTTTTGTATAACATTCAATAAAAAGAAAATTAAAGATAAGTTTGGTGAAATTTTCGTTTTTGTATTACAGGTACTTAGATTACGTTTTCACATTTTCAAAAATTTAAATAATGGGAGAAATGATAAATCATCTTCTACAAAAATAAATCACATGGGTCGACAAAGGGTACAAAGATAGATATAAAAAAAACTGGAGTGTATTTTCGTTTTCTCTCTCCTCCTCCTCCCTCCCTCCCCCCCCCCTTCCACCCGTCCCTCTCTCTCTCTCTCTTCCCCCCTCTCTCTCCCTCTCTCCCTCCCCCCTCTCTCTCCCTCTCTCTCTCCCTCTCTCCCTCTCTCTCCCCCCTCTCTCTCACGGTTGTATGTAACTATTTCGTTAGTTACTCAATTACTTATGGTATGTATCTTCACAAAATATCTCTAAGTGGAACTCTCGTGAAGTCGGAATTTTTGCATCATACAAAAGACTGATAACAAAAAAAACCCATTGATTTCTCTTTTATTGCCGACATCCTAAACAACAATATACTCTTTTACCTTGAAATATTCTATTTCAGTTGGAACATGATCGTCAAACAATGATACTTCATTTTTATCGAACTTTACATACCTGTGCTTGTTTTCCAACAGCAGCCATGTTTGTCACGTAGACAGGGTATCAGTTAGGTATTTTCCTACATAAATAATACAAAATTCCACACCATAATTTACATACTGAAAAAGAACTTTTTCACAGCTTTATGTATTCATTGACAATTTTTTTTCAAGTGAGAAGTATTCGGCTTCATGAAATATCAACATAATACCACGAGGAATCAGAAACAGTATTTCCAAGTAAAAATATTGTTTACTGTTATAATACTTCCGTCATCCATTGATACAGTTGTACTAACCTCAATCGATCAAAACCTTAAATGACAGTGCTTTCACGATGACAAATCGCTTTCTAGAGCTATCTTTTTTATCTGAGAGAAAGATACCACTTCGTGTCATATCACTCCTTGTACATGTATTCCCGGAACCGCTTTATACGAAAACAGACCCTGCTTTTTATCCTACTTCCGATTTTCTGTCGTGGAATTCATGTACTTTCTCTTTCGGTCTTGATTTCAAAAAATAGAAGCAAGAACTTGCATTTTTTGAAATTATATGGAGGACATTCAAATTAACTGCTCCGAATGATAGTTCACATACTTGAAAGATACATCAGACAGCTAAATTTTTCAGGACTTAAAATTGCAAAACACTGTTAACTTAAATCCGCTATGTTTCTCAAGGAGACACCAAGTTACACCCTCAGAATGAGTTTAACTGAGAGAGTTGTCATATTAATGACATAACATTTAACCTATCGGATGAAAGTATGTGTTGTGTACTTACCTGATTGTGTGTCTAAAACTTTTCATGGAGAGCTCGTCCTTTCGTGGAACAATTTACAGTTAAATGGATTACCCAATACACACAATATGCTTACATCATCAGTTACAACACAAATCACATCAACAATATTTATTTCAGAGTTGTCGATCTTTGTACTTACATGTCAAACTACACAGTGTTAAAGTTCTTCACAAAAATTTGGACTAAATGCATTATGAACTTAATGAAGATGGTGAGCTTGAAACCTAAGATTTTCTGTTATTTGTATTGTAAACCACTTATATCGTATTTAAATATTGTCAATTTTTTTCGAACATGCATTGTAAGTTTTTTGAAATATTACGATAGTCACTGTACGAATTTCATATACTTTTAGTGAACATATGTGACATCTACTCTATAATTAATATTATTATCATTTATCATCATCAATTTTTTCAAATCTATTCTTTCTGTGGGGCGTTTTGTTGTAATCATCCATTGTTGTTTTAAATGGGGACACGTATATTTTATAAATCATGCATGTTTTCTATTACATAGGGGTCGCGGTGGCGGCGTGGTTTAGGCATGTTTTCTATTACATAGGGGTCGCGGTGGCGGCGTGGTTTAGGCGTTTGTCCGATGCATCAGATTTGTAGCACACGGTCTTTGTTTGTCCAGAATCGAAGGAGTTTTATCAGTTTTTAAAGTGTTTCTTTCACCAATTATTGGCTAAAGCAAGAGTTATGAATGATAAAAATATCCACTTTGATCGTCTCGTTCTATTGTTTTTTTTTACGAGAAATAGAAGATTGTTATAAGTTATATTGTGAAATGCACATTGAGTTTTGGTAGATAATGTATTTTTAAGAGAGTAAACCTTGTAATGGGTAAAGAAGGAAAAGTTGACATTTCTAAATTCTATATATTATACTTTTAAGAGATTGTAAAATACATTTTTACACATTTCATTGGTAAATATAAGAAGGCAATATTTGTCAATTATTTGGTTGCTGATAATAACTTAGTTGTGATAAAAGACTGATATTGAAATTGCGTTCCAAAAAAGAAAAAAAAAACAACATCTGGGCTTGTTTCTTGTCCGTAATGAGTTTGAAACTTGTCAAAATATATTTTTTCATATTTTATTTTTGATGCATGTAAATTCCATGAAATGTGAAATAAATGATATAACAAGAGATTGTGTAAAATGTGTCAACGTTTTTAATCTATTATATGATATCATTAAATGGGGAAATGGGGGCGTCTGACCGACTTCATCACTAGCTCCCCACTCAGGCTTTCCTCCAACACTCAAATCCTTAAATGTCCCTGGTTGTTAATACGACGTAAGGCAACAGTAAACCAGTATCCTGCTCATCTTTAGCTGCTAAACATCTCTGTGTATTGTTGATATCAGATCAAAAAGGAGGGGGGTGGGGGGGTGGGGGGGGTGGGGGGGGGGGGTGGGGGGGGGGTGGGGGGGGGTGGGGGTGGCAGGAAGGGGTGTACTGGGTTGTGTTCCGATCAAAAATTCTCTGGAATTAATTTTAAGTCAATTATTTTTTGAGGAACTGATTCGTCGATCAGAAAATCGAAAGGAGGCTGTAGGTTATATGCAGAATATTTCCAACGCTTTGCTGGCAGTTAACATTCAAAAGTGGTTATATTGCTGGGAAAGAAGCATTTCTAAATACTGTAAATGATATTATGTTTTCGAGAAGTTAAATTTTGCATTTTTGTATTTTTAAGGGGGACGAGGAAAGCCTGTTCTGTGATGTTGATTTTGCGTCATTGAGCTAAACACTTTATCTGAATTACAGGCGACGGATCTCCTGTATGTTGTTCAGTGAGGCAGCTACTAGTGATTGCAAGTAGACCTCGCCTTACTATAATTCTTGCTGATGACGGGGCAATTCGCATGGCAAACAAACGAAGACACAAACAAATAAAACGTACATTTGATTTGCAATGATTAATAATGAGAAACATTAGCACGTGATACAAACGTTAACATATATGTTTACATGTTTATGTATAGTTATCAGATTACTCTCCTTATTTTTTTCTGGCTAGCTAGGCAACTTTATCAGTGAGCACAAGTATACCTGTAGATATAATCTAATAAACAAACGTACTATTATTATCAGCTATTACATAATAGACAAAATGATTTTAAATGACATAAATTCTAACTGTGCTACTTTCAAGGTTATTGTAAATAATGTGTCCCGATTTCTATGTAAAAAGTCTAAATTTGCATTGAAAGGTCCTATTATCTTGTGTGACTTTTGTACAATATTTTTATTTATAAATAAATCTAGTTAATCCAAGCTCGCTAATTTCTGCATTATCATGGCTAAATGTATCTTTTCTATAATAATGCAAATAAATAAAATGCCCATTTTGCTGTGATGAAGCTGCAGTCTACTCTTAATCATTACTTACTGAATTAATTAATCATTTTCTTGTCCGTTAGGTGACGTAATACACATACACCGAACCAGGATGTAACGTACTACACATACTTCACACAGAGAATACATCAGGTGCGCAGTTACACACGTAATAGGGGTGACTGACACTGAACACAGACAACCGTCTGGGATCTGTTTTAAAGTGTAATGGTTTGAGTGATTATGGCAGACGACAAACCAGCACAACAAGAAAAACTAAAACAGGTAGGAGAACTGAAAAACATTTAACTAGTGTGTAGTATCCGGAAAGAGATTCCATGTTTTTGGAATTGTTGATTTCGAAAGTGAAAGTAAACAAATCTGGACTGAGTTTTATTGAACTGTACAATATATTTCTACACATGATTAATATAATAGGAGAACCAATAATTCATTTTCTTTGATTTGTAATAAATCGGGGGTCAGTTTGAGCCAGGGTCTCGTAATGATGATGGAGCATCATGTACATTGTACGGGGGCGTGCCTTGTATACAATTTATTGCCAATGTACATCTTCAACTTCATGTGTGTATTTCTTTGTACAGAGAATTAAGATATCAACAATCAACTAATACACATTGTAAAACAAAAGATGGTCCGTGATTCAGCTTCTTGATAAACATACATTGACCTTGTAGGGTTCGAACCATAACCGACGGAGATTTCGAGGCCTCAAAAATAGCCAATTGTTTACATTGATGTGTCTCGTGCTAAAGAAGTTCCTATCTAGAATCTAGTTTCGTTATATTACTAAACTACATTTAATTTGTAGTAAGGAAGAATACAAGGTAAACATTTATGTAAATCCTTACCTGATGATTATAAGTGAGAGTAAGGTTAGTAAGAAAGTACACCAAAATGTGTTTGTATAGGGAACACATTAACGAAGAGCATATAAAATACAAATTCGGAGTTAGAAACTGTAAAATAAATGACATTATACCACTGTTTCGTGCTTCTAGGACTCGTCAGTGATGCTAACGGTTTCGTCCTTGTAGGACTCGTCAGTGATGCTAACTGTTTCGTCCTTCTAGGACTCGTCAGTGATGCTAACTGTTTCGTCCTTCTTGGACTCGTCAGTGATGCTAACTGTTTCGTCCTTCTAGGACTCGTCAGTGATGCTAACGGTTTCGTCCTTGTAGGACTCGTCAGTGATGCTAACTGTTTCGTCCTTCTAGGACTCGTCAGTGATGCTAAAAGGAACACATTTTGAAGCCTCAGAGTTGACTTAGTAAAGTCTAGATCGTTAAAATCGAAATGAGAAGGCGCATTAGCCGGTACGAATGTTTCGGAGTCTGGTAGACATTTAAATTTCTACCAGGGGTTTTAAAATCAATATAATTCATAATAGTATAAATCCTGTTGATTTAATTTCTACTGACAGCAGATGAGAGCATGTTTAATTTCGAGCGATAATATATATATCCAATCGATATTCACTGCGCCGCCAATAGACCACACAAGGTAGCAGGGAAAACACGTAACGTAAGCGTGCAAAGGTAAATGTGTATTGTATGAATATAAAGTCTTGACACAGGAATAACCGAGATATGTTTGTGAATAGATCAGGTGTATTTAATAAATAACTTTTGTACAGAATTTACACACAAATGGCGACAGCAGAAATTTTATGACTTTGACAGCCATTTTGCAGGACATAGATCTGGTTTGATACAAATCCATTCAGATTCACAAAATTTCTTCCAAACATGTAAACAGGTATATGTTCCGTTAATATATTCTCAAAGATGATTGAATAGAAACAAAGTATCATTTCAACTTGATAACCATCGACAGCTGCTTCCAAGAAAAGTGATCCTGCCATCGAGGTCACTCATGTTTACAACGACAAGTAGTGCACCGTGTCACCTCAACAACATGTATTGGAACTCTTTTTGCTTTCGTGTTGACCGACATCTTGGCGGGAGTTCCTGATGTCGTAGGTTTGTCCTTTCAGGCGTATCTTGACACTAACTGCAGTGGGTGCTCCATTATCTGACTTAACAAAAGATCCAGCGTAATTTAAAGCATGAACAGTAAATATAGGAATTAAAGTGACATCTAGACGGTGTTATGAAAGATAGAAATAGATAATTAAATATTGTTATCATACTGAATTCCATTGTTCGATAAAACCACGACACGTCTTAAAGTCTTCGATGTTGTTTGGGGGAAAAGAGAGGGGGTTGGGGGTGGGGGAGGGGGATTGGGGATTGGGGGATGGATGAAAATGGAATAAAAACTGCATCTGAATTTATCAAATAGTGCACAATGGGTATATTTGCCCCCGTAACGTTAATTAGAAGCTTTATTTTTGTAGTAGAATTTTTATTTGAAAATGTTTACTGTATTGGATATGCTATCGATGTCTCTAGATAAGAGTGGTATTGGCAGCGAGCTGTCAGGTCTAAAACGTGATTAATATAGAGATAACAGGAACATATCAATAGTGAATCTTAATGTGAAATCGGACCAGAATTACATCACGTGATCACTTTTACTTACAATATTGACAACAGAGCAGTCAATATCAAGGTCAGGATGATAGGTAAACTGCATCACATAAAGGTACTTTGATATGTTCTTAATTGCACCCCACAACTATGTAGTAAACATATACTTATTTTACTTTTACGATCTTAACGGCCCGTCAACACATGAAAGGTCATTAGGGTCATTAAACGATGAAAGACAATGACAAAAAAAGGAAATAAGCAAAAATAAAGAAAAACAAACAAACTAAAAGATAAAAGACAAAATTCTTAAATATTAATATTATCACAAAAGATAAAAGTGGTGTAGTGAACATTTCAAGCAAAATATAATTCCGCAGGTCATTCTAATAGGCATATATATATAAATATTTGTCCCATTCATTCCTTTTGTGAACAATAAAAAAAAAACGAAATGGAACGCTTCTTTTACACACATGACTTTTTACATGCTTTTCTCATAAATCAAAAATATTTTGTAATTTTCTATATTGAATTTAATAGTTTGCCAAATACTTCTTACTTCTATGGATCGTATGTCTAAAGAATCAAATGTTCGCGTAACGTCCTTCACCTTAGTAATACATTGGAATCAGCAGCTAAAAGTTAGGATTTGGCAGCATTTCTTTTCAAACCATTCAAACAAAAACAAGCTCAACTTTGTTCACCTATCTCTCCTCAACTGCTCATTTTCCATGGAAAGCACATCATTCAGGTACCATGTATTTTGAGTTCTTGATTTGAAGTTGTCTGCCTTGTTCAAGGCTGATGTATGGCAAAAATGTGTCTGGAACAATGTGCTCGCAAAAGCAACGAACATTGCTTGTCAAGCAGAAACGCTCCAGTGTTTATATGAACCAATACCTAATGATGATAATGTATTATCTATCCGTGTACAAGAATCAGTATATCTATTTTTCTTTAATTTCACATCATCAAAGTCTCTTTGGTCATGATATAGTATGTGGTAGTGTTTAATCTTAGTATGTATTTTTCCTTTTCCCGGTGTTGTTTGAAGTTCTGATTTCTAATTTGATGGGGTCTTTTTATGGCATTGGCATTTTTATTGTGAACCTCCTCTTTCGAATAGAATGACAAAATTGATTCGAATCCTGTTTCTTTTAGTTTAAAGTTTCCAGTTACAATCGGTTCGTTTGACTGGACTCAAAACTCGGATATGGACAAGTCGACATTTTTTGAAGGATGTGTTTTTATTTTAGAATTTTTACATTTCTTGAATATGATAGATATTTACTTGATCTTCATCTTATTACAAACAGGTACTAAATTTACGGGAACTCTACCACGGAAGATTCACACAGGATGAAATTAAAACCCTTCTTCAGGAACATGATTGGAATGATGGACAGGTCATCAGTTTTATACAAGAAAGTCAGTAATTACATGTTTATATTTTGTATGTATTTATATATATATATATATATATATGTGTGTGTGTGTGTGTGTGTGTGTGTGTGTGTGTGTGTGTGTGTGTGTGTGTGTGTGTGTGTGTGATATTTGTATACTAATTAATAAAACCATTTTTCAATGACGTAAACTTAAAGGAATTCACTCATGGAATTTTAATATAAATGAAGAATATGGAATTGTTTTGTATTCAGTTTGACTTTTCCTTATGTTACCATATTTCTTTAACATTACAATGTATTTGTGGTCATCTTTTCCAACATCATAGTAAAGACTAGCGTTAATTGTGTTCTACGAAAAAAACATAATTCATACTATATATACTTTCGCCATTTGTTGACGGGACAAAATATTTGTGCCACAATTATTTATCTATCTTATTATACAGTTTCATACACTTACTACATCGTTACATTACCTGTAACGCGTGTTGGTTTACTCATGTTAAAGAAAAAGATTTTTACTATTTACTAAAAAGCTATTTTTCCTAGATGAACCAGCGACTGTTCGACAGAGCATCCAACGGCTATCAGAGGTAGGTTTATGCGTGTTCCCGTTGTGATCTATACAATCTCCTTATCTTTTCTGCTTTTCTCTTTGACAGTACTCGCTCCTATTATTTTGATTTCTGTTAGGACCATGTTTTGCCCACAGTGTGTACTGGGTCATTGCGTATCATTTGATTTTTTTGGGGGATCCATTCTGTATCACCTGGTGGTAAGGTCACATTAGACAAAAACATATGGTGACTTATTGCGATATTCTTTTGTCCGACTTCGTCTGTCGCCCGTCCTGCGTTCGAAAAATTTTGACTTCAGGAAAACCTCTGAACCGATTTCAATGAAACTTGTCAGAAACTTTCCATAGACAAAGGTAAATCAAAATTGTAAATTATGTGGTCCCTCTCCTCAAGACACTCAAATATAGTAGAATGAAATACTCTTCATGGATCGAAAGGTCTTAAGGTCAAAGGTGTTTTACCAAGATTGTAAATTTCATGACCTCAGGTCCACACATATTCCCTTTTGGAGGGGGCAGAATTACCTAGTTTTCGTTGGAGTTCCTTCCGTATTGTCTGTTTGAAAGCACAATGGCAACATAATCATAACTGAAACTCAAATTCCATTAAACAAGCACAAAATATGAACAGAAGAAATATTTACACGGAGACTTCTGAAAAAGTACAAGGAGAATTCGACCAGGTGTTCCGGCAGAGTCAGGTCTTCTGCTTCATCAACGACACTCGCTATGTAAACCTTGGTCAACCCAAGTAAGTAATGCCACGTTCTCAAATGAGAACAAGGTATACAACAACGGAACCACCCAGCAAAATAACTAGCATCAAACACGTCCATCTTCATGTTGCATATGGAAATATAATATTACTGAATGACATCACTATGACGACCATAATACTTCCCCATAATTTTCACCAACCTGCATCTATTGAAGGTATAAACAATACAGGTAAATGAAAAGTGCGGAGAAGCTTTATGGTCGTCATAGTGATAGCATTTAGAAATGTTCATTTTTTTTCAACATATATTCCATTGATACTTCCTTATTGATTTATATCAAAATTTAAGAATCAAGTCAGCATTTCTATATTCTGAGCGATAAGCGGTATTATTCTCCGCTCAGAGTAGCATGCGTGGCATTTCTAATGATATTTCAATGTTATTACCTACTTTTGCCGAAACAGAACGAAATAAAAGAAATCCAGAGCGATCGGAATATTGCGCGAAACCTAGCAGAAGGAATAGCCACTCAGAGACGCCTTTTCTCGTGTGAATCCTGTGACCGATTCTGGTGGAGGAAAGTACCAGAAAGGAAACTGGTAGTTTATTTTTTTTTGTTGTTGTTTTATATAATTATGATTTATTTTTTGTTGTTTTTTGCTCCTATTTTTCTTTCCACCAAATTTTGTTAGATAGACCCTGACATACCAATAGCGATTGTTAATTTTATTTTCATTCTTGATGTTTTAAATCTTTGAGATTTGGATATGAAAGTAAGGTAGTGTACACCCTAAAGTGGTGTCTGCAATCTCCCCGGCTACACCATAAAAGTGACACTACATAAAAGAAATCAAACATGAATATGATGACAAGGGTAGTTTCAATCAAGGCTAGGAATTCCAACCTTATTAGTCTTCTTAAATATCAAACCTGATATTGATCTGTTGCAGGTATCGAAATGTCACCGTTGCCATGTGAAATACGAGCCTGTTCCGGTTGAGAATGAATGGGGCTGGGCGATATTCAGTTGTGAATGTGGGAATGAATTCAGGTAGAACTTATCATCAATGCGCTTTATAATTAAACTTTTTTGATACTAGCATACCTTACATATATAAGAAAATGTTTGATTGAATTAAGTTGAACAATTGCCAGAACAACATTATGCCGTCTGTTCGCGTTCGAATGTCATCGGACAATCCAACCATCCCTCCTCTCCGCCACCTTGCCCTTCCGTTCGGAGCCTCTCTTCAGAGTTGGTAGGAACCATTAGTTTTGTTCACACAGGTTCCGAATTCCTAAAAAAAATCGCAGAAGAGCAAATTGGAAATCGATGATCACGTCTCAATGTAAAAACATTGAGTCGTTATAATTTTGCATTGCTTGGACTCACAAAAAAACACAAGTAAAACAAATGTTTCAATAACTCCGTCGGGGAATATTTTTGGAAACTGACAAAAAAAAACTAGAATTTGGTTCGTGCAAAACCGAATGGATCACTGGACATGACTTTTCCCACTATAGTTTAGATTCTTTGTTTAGTGAACAATATAATTTTAGTTGACTAAAGTATTGTGTTTTACTCCATAATAAGTAATTTATGGTTAAAAAGGTCATTTTGTTGGCATACTAACATCAATGCCATTCTATAAAACTCTTTTTATATAGTGGACATGGCCAATGGCAAGTTGGAAGCGAATGTTACAAATGTGGAAGTGAAGCGTTTGCTACAGGTAAGATGGATGAAAGATTGCACGAGAGACACACAAGTAAATAATACATTTTTATACAAATTTTGATATGATAAGAATGTCAAAATGAGTTATACTGCATCTTACAGTTTGTTCGTCTTAGTGATGTTATGGACATAAATGTCAAAACTAAGAGGTGACTGAGGAAAATCCAAATTGATCGAAAGAAATGTCAAAAGCTAGATGTGGAGGTGCACAAGCCCTCTTATTCAGTAAATTATGTTTGTCCTGAAGCTCGTCATTGCTGGTATCAATCAAAACGCGGCATGAAGGTTACGGTAAACAATATACGAGCACGACGAGGAAAGAAAATCATACGGAGATAAATATTCCTGAACATTTCGATAAAGTCATAAAGTCAAGGCATAGCTGTTATGCAATTAAATATGTTCTTTTAGTGGAAAGGAAGACTGTCCGAAAAGAAATATTTAGCCCCCGATTGTGCGTGATGTCGTCATGTCTCGCTTTGATGTTAATGTATTATTTGTTCTTGTTTTAAAGTGGCATCTGGTGGTATTCTGGTGTCCCTTCTGTTCCATTCTCTCTTGCATATTTTTTGTTTAGATTATGGTTTGAAGGCAAATGAACGCTATGTCATATTTAAAAAAACATCAAGGAAATACCAACCTACAACTTATGTGAGTAAATCTAACATGGTAAAATTAACTCATTTCATCCAGAAATCCGACCTCCAGTTTATCGTCGGACGAGGCGAACCCGAAGCAGACACAGTTGTAACGCACCTGATTGTGACGGCACGGGCAACAACGTGATCACAACTGGGGGCTCTCGAAACGACTTGACCGCAAGTAATGACTCTGGACACAACATGACAGGAAGCGAGAATACGGGTGCCACTGGAGGTGGTGAAACAATCTATAACCGTGGTTCAGGAAGTCGGGAAGAAACAAACAACGGTTATTTGGAAACTGGTGGTCATGTGGTACATGTCTCCCCTGGACGATATCAAAGAGGCCATTCACACGGAGGTAAAATTATTATATAGGCTAATTTATCTTTCAGTTATTGCATTTGTAACACTAGTGAACTGGATGTTTCTTTAAAGCACAAGGAGTGAAAAATATGAACAATGATTTTAAAACAGTAATAAATGAAATGTGTTTTTTTTCAAATGCAACAAAAACAACATTTGTCTTTTTCTTGCTTTGGTCCAGGGCCTCTAGTTATGAACGTGTGTGTGAGTCCAGAATCCAGACAGGGCAAGAAGAAGGTGATATTTGCCAGCAGGAGACACATCAGTTCCGGTTCTACAGTAGATACATTCCTTGAACAGGACGATCTCTGCTCCCTGGATTCTTACGTGTCATCCTTACCCGTTATTCAAGAACAATGACCTCATTGTCAAAAAACTACAAATTCACTTAGATTCACGGAATTGGGTCTTTAACAGCCAAATCAAAATGCGATGATGTAGCTGATTTTTGTCTTTGAGAAAGATGAATGTGAGAGCATTAGCTATGCGAATCGAATAATGTTTATATTTCATTCCTTCATTCTTGTCTTTGCATTTTGATACATTTTTTTAAAATCAAATTATTTACATCTTCCATATCCAAGCTTTACATTCCACTTAAATGATTCTGCTAGTTCTTTATGTTCGTTGATAACTTCTTAGTCAGTTACATTGAACGTCAGAAATCAACTATGGCATGACCATGACCAAACCAATTTATTGGAACCTGTTATCAGAAGTAAGGTATTTTATATCAAAACATATCCTAACATGTAAACTTATATTTAGAACTACGAAATTACTAATATTACTAGTATATGCATGTCTTAAATCCTAAAATTATGATAAACATTATTCTTGGGAGTCATTAATGTTATTTGCTTACTTTGTAGGTTGCTGCTTATTGTTAAAGTTAAGATATGATAGTGTTATATATAAACTGCTGGTTTGTCTGTTACATACTGGGCAAATAATGCATTTCCAAAACAAAACGTTTTCTTTTATACTCATATTCATACATCATATCAATAGTTTCAAATGCTATTTTATTAACGAAAGAGAAAAAATCCCATGACTGTCACAACAAAGCAAAAGTGAAAATAGATGAAAGTTCATGACTGATATAGCCTCTCTTGCTTAGCAGGTTTCTATCAATTTTCGCTCAACATTGACTGTATATTTCTATATAGCACTCATAGTCACATACTAAAACTAAAACCTTTAACAGCAAATTAAATTTTGTATAATATTTCATGAGAAAAAACATGAAATTATATGCACCAACATAATCTTTAAATATACCCATCTTCCTTGCCCTAATACTCCCTATTTCACTTGTATACCTTAAATATAACAAATGAAGTTTTTTTCTAACATTATGCTGATAAAATAACAGAATGCGTTTTGCTTTGCTCGAATACATATTTTGGTAACAGTTTTAGTGCTCATTGATCGTATCAAATACGCATGGTTTTCTGTTTAAAGAATGTGTTCATATACTATGATAAAGGTACGTATCACTTCATGTTTAACTACGTGGGCTTTTTAATGTGCGTTTAAACTGCATTTTTATTTAAAAAATCTATAATTTGATGTTACCTTTGTACTTTTCCGACGACTTTATGAAAATATTGCTCACCGCCGTCTTCCTAGTTGATTCTTTCTGTTTTTAACATCGTGGCACTCTGATTGTAATATTTCGAAAAAAAACCAAATGTAATGGAATATATGTTGTCTGTAATATATGCAATGCATTACTGTAAGTATCTAGAAATTCGTACCATTTCATTATTCATTCAAAGAGCTAATGTGTTTTCGGCAAGGAGCCACAAGGACGATTGAAGAATCGAAAGATATGATGGTAACAACGTTTTGTTTAAGAATTGAAGATTATAGCACTGAAATAATCAGTATCTGTATGAAATAAGATATGATGGTCACTGTATAGTTTAGATACAACTACAACAAAGTTTTAAGTTTTTAGTCTAGCATCTTCATACGTACTATTTTAGACAATTTTTCATTTTGAGGACAAGGGTTTGCAGATAAGTGCATTGGAGAAATAACTTTACAGGAATGTTAATCAGAATTCGAAGTTACAAACAGACCCTGACATGTCTTAATAATGTCAATATAAAACTTTTGTCACTGTAGACCCTGACATGTCTTAATAATGTCAATATCAAACATATTACACTGTAGACCCTGACATGTCTTAATAATGTCAATATCAAACATTTTACACTGTAGACCCTGACATGTCTTAATAATGTCAATATCAAACATTTTACACTGCAGACCCTGACATGTCAAAATAAATTCAATATCAAACATTTTACACTGTAGACCCTGACATGTCAAAATAATGTCAATATCAAACATTTTACACTGTAGACCCTGACATGTCAAAATAATGTAGACCCTGACATGGCAAAATAATGTCAATATCAAACATTTTACACTGTAGACCCTGACATGTCAAAATAATGCCAATATCAAACTTTTGTCACTGTAGACCCTGACATGTCAAAATAATGTCAATATCAAACATTTTACACTGTAGACCCTGACATGTCAAAATAATGTCAATATCAAACATTTTACACTGTAGACCCTGACATGTCAAAATAATGTCAATATCAAACATTTTACACTGCAGACCCTGACATGTCTTAATAATGTCAATATCAAACATTTTACACTGTAGACCCTGACATGTCAAAATAAATTCAATATCAAACATTTTACACTGCAGACCCTGATAAGTCATTGTAACAAAGTTTATATCAATCTTTTCACAATGTAGACCCTGACAAATCATCACAAAGTTTATATCAATCTTTTCACAATGTAGGCCCTGACAAGTCATCACAAAGTTTATATCAATCTTTTCACAATGTAGGCCCTGACAAATCATCACAAAGTTTATATCAATCTTTGCTCACTGTAGACCCTGACATGTCATACAGTTTATTCCATAATAACCCTACTGTAGGAATTTACATGTTATAACAAAGTTGATTAAAACATATTCTCAACGTAAACCCTAACATGTTAAAACAAAGTTTTGCTATAAAATGTAACATGGCGAAAAAAAATTGTTTAAAGTCCTGAGACTTAATATCTTGTTAAGAACATATAGAAATAAGCTAATAATGAGAGGTGTTCTAACTTTGTGAAGGTATGTATATATTTTTGCAAGTATAAGTTTAGATTCAAAAGATACCTGTAAATATTAATAACCACAATTTTACATGACCAGCAAGGAAAAGGGGGCGGTGTTATTTATATTTTCCTACATCACCTGACTTGTTAGTACTAAAGTTAGGAGACATGATTTAACATTTAAAATCAGGTGGATCCTCATTAACGATTATTGTGACATCAATATGAAAAATAGCGAAGTTGTATTGATTCAGCAAATATTCCTCCGTTAAAATCATTAAGAAGAGTGTATGAACAATATAGTTTCCCCATACAGGTGAAATAGTGTCAGGTAAAGCAGACTGCATACACGATCTGGGTACCTCGTTTACAAACAACACACATGAGTAACTATGGACTATGAGTGTTACATAACAAAGCCAAGCAATTTAATGTACAACCTTATACGTGCAGCGATAACGATAAAGACGATAGGAAACCAATCCGTCCGTCACACGTCTGACCCCAAACACAACTTCTTATGATCTCAGTATCGCCCTGTCGGTATGGAACTTGAAGCAGCAGCGGACGGCAGACATGGAGCTACCGAAGACCAAATAAAAGAGGTAAGTTGACGTTAATTTGAGGCAAGTTGCGTCTAGTAACAGGAATTGCAGAAAATTTGTGTACGTTCAAATAATCCGTTACACATGTATGTATCTGCCAATCATTGTTTACATGTGTAAAGGCAGGGTGTGCATGTGTCTGGCAGGGGGGGAGGGGCAGGGGGAGAGGTGCAGGCGGTTGTTGATATCGTTACGACACTACAGTGTCAATCAAGAGAGCTACGAATTGAAACAGGCAGCATATTTTCTATCTGATATAAAACAGTACTGGCCTTTCAAATATATTACTATGGCGACGTTACTCGGTATGAGCATACCAACGTCGCTGACCTCTTCCTTTAATCAGTGCAGTGTATTAAGTAAATAAAAAAGACTGAACAAAAAAGACAACTGTTAGATGAGAAACGGTAATGAGAGATACGTATCAAGGCCTCTGTAAATATCCTTACCTAAACGTACATACAAAACTGCAATATCAGCGATAATATGAGTGTATGTATAACAATGTAGATGTCACATATCCATGGTAGTAGTGTACAAATCCCTTGAACTGTATGCATTATTATTGATTTTCTTTTAACTTTTTACGAAATGTTTGTTTTTAGTTGCACGTGCGTAGTCAAGGGCGATCTGGTCATTAAAATGTTGTGTTGATGAAACACAGATATCCATCTGGAATTTGTTGTATTAAGCATTGGACACACAACAAAGATAAATGTATGGCTTTTATCGACTATAATGAGGAAAGGTGGTTCGTGGGCAACAGTGTGGTGATCTGGTATTTTATACTGCTGATATGTATCAGGACTCCATGTCAAAGTGTATATCATATATCACACTTACGATATTGTTCTATAGATGTTGTGTACTGTGAAAGGAATGTTATGATTTCTCTTTTGTAGTTTATTGTTTTTTCGATCAGTCAAGTTGTATGGCTTGTGTAACATCCTGCCCTATTTTGGTGACAATGCAATGCTATTTATGTCGTTGCTCATGCGTAATAACGTAATCGATAAACTGCCCCCGGTGACACGGGTAATCTCCGACACCAACAAGGCTAATTTAATCATATGTGTTAGGAGAATAAGACATGTCTATCTCTGCGCTACATTGCATATTAAAAAATGACATGTTTAAGCTTAGGTATATCTTCTACGTATCTTTTTTCTAACGAAAACAATGATAACAGAAATATCAGCTATAGTAAGTACCGAGGTAACATCAATAGTAAGGTTCAGTGTCCCGGATGTTGAAATGAACAAAAGAACATAAGGTTGGCGTATTAAGGTATGTGTTTTAAAAATAAGAGGAAAGGCAAGGACGGTGTCGCTGTTCAAATACAGCCATTTATTTGTAATTTTAAAAAAAATAGCAAATATTTCAAAATGAGAAAATAGATGTAAAAGATAAAAGAACCTAATGCAGCCAGCTACTGACATTGCTATTACATACAAAAGTTCGTTCGGCCACAGTATGTTTCTGCTGACAAATTCGATATATACCTTGTCCATTCTAATCACAGAAATTCTTAGTAAAACTTTAATACACATTGACTCTATACTAAGTAAAATATACCAATTTAATAAGAAAGGAAAATTGATATAAAATGAAAATGTAAGTTGAACACGTTATTCATTACCATGTGGTAAACCCATTTACATGACTCGATATGTTATAAAAAAACTTACGAAACAAAAGTAATAACAACACTAAATTTCCTTAATGAATTATTGTTAATTAGCCAGCTATCACATGTGTATGCATTTGTAAAGTTACAGTATAGTAAATATATTGGTGTATACATGTATAAAGGGAATGCTTTGTAACCATGTCACAATGATCTGACTGCTAGCTGAAGGATTGAGAATAATGGTATGGTTCAATATAGGTCTGGTTGTTCAAGGAATCATCAACATAATTTTGACAAATGTATGATTTCCGTAACCTTTCAAGATATATCTGTTTTTCGCAACTTTTTGGACAGTCTCCAAAAAGTCGGTATACTTGTAATATCGATTTTTGATTATTTGATAGGTAAAAATAGCCAATACAATCAAATTTATTTAACGGTAGGTTAAGCTTAACATGCTCCGTATATCAGGGTTACCTGTTCAAAGGCTCTAATCTGAGCATTACACAGCGGGGCCATGGAGTATGTATGTTATTACCTGGCATAGAAGGGTATATATATATATATATGTTCATACCATTAATTCGTAACTTTCAATAATTTTAATTTATACATATTCATAATGACGACTAATATATATATATATATTATCGTTTCGTCTCGGTACATACATGAATGCATTTCATGATCAGATGTCATGAGAGAGTTTCAGATAGAAATAAGATCTGTCTTTAGCCTAAAATCAATGACAATCGTAAATATAAAGATTTGCCTACCGAGGTATGATTAAAGCAAATTTGAAAAACCGTTGTAATGGGCCTTAACGATATGTGTTAATTTCGCCATTACATATAAACGTATATATTAGCATTTATTAGCATTTATTAGTATAAATAATGGACGCAGTTTTAAAGCCTCTATGTCCATATGAAATATATACGCGGTAGATAGATATCAACGGAGTTGATGTGTATATATATTGATATCTATAGTCTATGTATGTAATGTGAGTTTGGTGTGTAAAGTGACCGTCTGAGACTACCGGATTTGTTTTTTGATTCAGAGATAAAATGACCGCCTTATAAAACAATTACCATCCGTGACATTCTAAAAACAGTTTAAAGATAGAGCAGAATTTACTGTCTCCTTACCCAGTTATGCTTAGCTTGCTTTGGATACAAAACAATTCGGACTTGAGCAGGGCTTCCTAAATCACAACATTCTTCTGAAATATGTAGCATGTTGTTATTGTGTTATTATGTTTGCCATGTTAGGCCAGACGTCTCCAGGAACTGCTCTCTGGGCGTTTCACAGAAGAAGAAGCACTGCGTATACTAGAACACCATGACTGGAGTCTCCCCGCTGCAGTTAATTTCGTGTTTGAAAGTAAGTAAACAAATTTCTGTCAATGATATCAATTTCATCTTGAAGAGATAGTATATCGTATCTGCTTATAAAGAAAAAATAAAGGATATGTCCATGTGTACGATTTACAGGTGATGCGAAGTGGACGATCAATGATGTAAGCTTATTCAATAACTATTTGTCGTAAAAATTATCTGCCGTTTCTATTCTACATGACAACTGAAATCCACATAATACGTATGATGAACAATAGCAGACATCTGGTAGTCTACGGATATGGCTAGTAGAATGTACAATCAATCTCAAAGAATTTTCATCAGAAATTTAATATTCGATCAGCTATTTTGTATCATGTGTTTCCATTAGTTTCTGAGAAAATGATATCCAACCAATTGTTATATAGGTGAACCACGACAAGTGAGACAGATCTCAGGGGCAGGACAAGGGGTATGTAGTATTATATGATTTCCAGAGTGTACCTATACTGCAAAAGAAATCGTGTACCTTCTTGTGCTACCTACAATACTTCACATATCTACTATTGTAATCAGTGTTTTTTTCCTGAATTAGATTCTATTCTTTATAGAAATTTCTTCTCCAATTTTACGAATTTGAGGATATCCTTTGAATCAGTCATATCGTCATTTCGTGATAAAAGAGCACATTTTGTTTTTACCAAAGTGGACCACAGTTCTGGCAGATCATAATGTTCGCAATCTCGCCTTTCAAAATGAGGTACCATTTCAAGTCCGACAGTTTGCGTGTGAGGACAATGATAATGTGTGGTGGAGAAAAGTTCCGACTCGAAAACCGGTAAGTGATATAAATGACTTCAACAATCATGTAATGCAAGCCTTGATTAGACTTAACTTTCCAGTCCATCTTTCGATATCTCTTTGATATGAAAATTCGTCCGTATCTCACAAAACCATTGGACATCCTGAGGTATGAGGAAGTTTAATTCACTGTGATAGCATTATAAAGTCAGCTTCATTTCCACGCCTTGACGAGGAGGCTTTCACAAACATTTCGCAATCTCCTAAAAACATCTATTCAACACATGCGCTCAAGTCGCATACCCCGGGAGACCGTCCATACATTATCAAAATGATCTCTTGAGAATATATAGTCCTCGTGTCCACATTTAATGGAGGGTTGGTAGTGACATCTTGTGTTATGATTTGTTCATCAACTGAATCTCTTGTTTTTTTGGTTATACGAAATGTCTAAATGAGTTCGAGTTTATACATCCGCATGCACATTAAAATGCTGCACAAGGAAAGGGTGTCTGCTTTATTCTTTTGAATGATGAATGAGAGCTAAACGATACTGGCACAAACATCCTTCTCGGCAAATGTTTGAACGCCTGCCTTGATTAGTCTGCCTTCAAAATAGATGTCATGTAATTTTGCAAAGAAAGAGTGAAGAAATGTGGGGACCCTCTGCATTTCTATGAACAGAAGACCGTTTGAAAATTTGTTACATCGTCCATTTATACAATGTAATCACACCATTGCGTTAAATTCGTTTTTGTACATATAGAATATGTTGATTCTCGTGTTTTCTAGGTATCCAAATGTAAACATTGTCGGAGGCGTTTTGAAGCAGTTCCTACAGATCGAGAGTGGGGATGGGCGAAATTCGTATGTAACTATTGTGGAAACGAATTCAAGTGAGTTTTGATATATGTTTATATAATTGCAATGTAACATGGCTTCATAATCATCAGATACTTTCTAGCTTCTGACTAATCTCTCAAAGCGTTTGTTAAAGAGGAACGCTTTGATAGTCGAAAAAAATGCACGAACAAGAAAATATCTGATTTAGATCACTGTGAAAGACTGAATGGGGAGTACGTTGTACCTAAAATTGTGTAACGGTTTATATGAATGATTTTAAAGTACATGTGTATATTCTGAACTGTGCTTCTATGCGTGGGAAAGAAAAGGTTGCACACAAGTTTAAACAAATTTCTGTGACTAAATCAGAATGATAGTTTCAAAGATACAGATCTCTCTGAAGAAAAAGGATTTTTTACATGCTTTGAGTCTAACAGCTTATTTGTCCATGTATATTAATTAAACACATAACATAGTTTCAAACTTATTATCATTTAAGCGCTTAAATAAGACTCAATGCGTCTTTATTTACTTCTTTTTTGCCCGACCAGAGTCGTTGGTTGATTTCTACATCTGGAAATCACAGACTATAATTGGAGTCCATTATGTCCACTTACAAAAACATTTTTAATCAGCGACAACAAGACCCTCTCAAATGATGTGACCATCACAGAAAATCGACGATGGACTTAGTTATATTATATTCATGTCCAAAAGGAAAAGAAAATAAAAAAGTTAAGGATGCCTGTTATAACATCTATCGCTATTTTGAATGTAGATTCTTTTTGAATAATTTTTCTTCTTGATTAAGTGGATTCGGCCAGATGAACAGTACATCATCGCCCTGCTATCATTGTGGAACAACTATCTGTCACGTGACAGAAATTTTCCCGCCTTACCGACACAATAGATCTGGCAGGAGGTCAAGGACCAGCCATACATGTACGGCACCAAACTGCTATAACCGGTCTCAAAGTATGTATTTCGGTTTGTATCTAATGGTCGTTATTATGTTTAAATTATATAATGGTCCTTATCTATGTTAGTATATAATAGGAAGTATATCTGTTGGTATATAATGGGGAGTATGTCTGTCGGTATATGGGAGTATGTCTGTTAGTATATAATGGGGAGTATGTCTGTTGGTATATAATTGGGAGTATGTCTGTTGGTTATAATGGGGATTATGTCTGTTGGTATATAATGGGGAATATGTCTGTTGGTATATAATGGTAAGTATGTCTGTTGGTATATAATGGGGAGTATGTATGTTGGTATATAATGGGGAATATGTCTGTTAGTATATAATGGGGAGTATGTATGTTGGTATATAATGGGGAATATGTCTGTTAGTATATAATGGTGAGTATGTCTGTTAGTATATAATGGGGAGTATGTCTGTTGGTATATAATTGGGAGTATGTCTGTTGGTTATAATGGGGATTATGTCTGTTGGTATATAATGGGGAATATGTCTGTTGGTATATAATGGTAAGTATGTCTGTTGGTATATAATGGGGAGTATGTATGTTGGTATATAATGGGGAATATGTCTGTTAGTATATAATGGGGAGTATGTTGTTGGTATATAATGGGGAATAGGTATGTTGGTATATAATGGGGAGTATGTCTGTTGGTATATAATGGGGAGTATGTCTGTTAGTATATAATGGTGAGTATGTCTGTTGATATATAATGGGGAGTATGTATGTTGGTATACAATGGGGAGTATGTCTGTTAGTATATAATGGGGAGTATGCCTGTTAGTATATAATGGGGAGTATGTCTGTTGGTATATAATGGGGAGTATGTCTGTTGGTATATAATGGGGAGTAGGTATGTTGGTATATAATGGGGAGTATGTCTGTTGGTATATAATGGGGAGTATGTCTGTTAGTATATAATGAAGAGTATGTCTGTTGGTATATAATGGGGATTATGTGTTAGTATATAATGGGGAATATGTCTGTTAGTATATAATGGTGAGTATGTTTGTTGGTATATAATGATTATGTGGTATATAATGGGGAGTATGTATGTTGGTATATAATGGTGAGTATGTATGTTGGTATATAATGGGGAGTATGTCTGTTAGTATATAATGGGGAGTATGTATTTGGTATATAATGGTATGTTGTTGGTATATCATGGGGTATATGTCTGTTAGTATATAATGAGGAGTATGTATGTTGGTATACAATGGGGAGTATGTCTGTTAGTATATAATGGGGAATAGGTATGTTGGTATATAATGGTAAGTATGTATTTGGTATATAATGGGGAGTATGTCTGTTAGTATATAATGAAGAGTATGTCTGTTGGTATATAATGGGGAGTATGTCTGTTAGTATATAATGGGGAGTATGTATGTTGGTATATAATGGGGAGTATGTCTGTTAGTATATAATGGGGAGTATGTCTGTTAGTATATAATGGGGAGTATGTCTGTTGGTATATAATGGGGAGTATGTATGTTGGTATATAATGGGGAGTATGTCTGTTGGTATATAATTTGGCGTATGTCTGTTGGTATATAATGGGGAGTAGGTATGTTGGTATATAATGGGGAGTAGGTATGTTGGTATATAATGAGGATTATGTCTGTTGGTATATAATGGTGAGTATGTCTGTTGGTATATAATGGGGAGTAGGTATGTTGGTATATAATGGGGAGTATGTATGTTGGTTTATAATGGGGAATAGGTATGTTGGTATATAATGGTGAGTATGTCTGTTGGTATGTAATGGGGAGTATGTCTGTTGGTATATAAAGGGGATTATGTCTGTTGGTATATAATGGGGAGTATGTCTGTTGGTATATAATGGGGAGTATGCCTGTTGGTATATAATGGGGAGTATGTCTGTTGGTATATAATGGTGAGTATGTCTGTTGGTATACTTTCTTAGACTTTGATCTATGGTAACAAGAAAGAACTTAGAATAAGACCATTTATCACCTGCAGATGCTCCCTTCGGACCAACTAGATGTGTCCATCCCCGATCTTTGAGACGCCAAGTGGTGCACCCAAGTCAGCGTCATATCAGTACGGGGTCGACTGTAGCCACATTCCTGAGTCAGGGAGACTTGGTTGCCTTCCAGGACTATCCAGGACCACGTAACATGCATGACATATCCGAGGATGGAAGTGACCATTCAGACAACAGTTAAATAGCATTTTCTTTGGATGTTTCGTAATTTTCTATTGCTGTTATCTCCGCCACTTTGCAATTTCTATTTTTTTATCAAGAGTATAAAAAACGTGAAATCACAACCGCAACTATCAGCAGAATAATGGCATTGCATATGTAATTCTACTGAGGCAGCATTTGGTCCTGTGATAAAAGTATTTTTCTATTGCAATTGTATCACCCGTGTCAATTTTCTCCAGAAATTAGAAATGGGTCACAGGAACTTGGCACGAATTCCCAACCCATGGTCCATATATTTGTATTACAGTGACAAGGGTTGTAACTCAAGAAAAGGGAAAACTGAACACAAGAGAGCATTTCATATATACCTAGACATTTCTACATACGGTTCGTCGTAGCTTGGTCAATACTTGATCTAAACATTATCTTGTACGTTATATATGTATTACTTATAACTGGAATATCAAGGGAAAAACTACGCACGTTCAGTTTCCCTTCTCGGGAGTTATAGACCTTGACTCTATAACAGATATATATATGGACCATGGGTTAGGAATTTATGCTAGGTTCCTGTTATATAGGGGCACAAAGGCAAGCATTAAAAGATGGACACATACATGTTTTCGCGACTAAATGATAAGGAGACTTGAAAAGTCGTTTTGTATATACGTGAGCGACCCCTCGGACGTGCATGCATGACGAACTGTTTCTGTGATATGAATTGAGTGTGTAAATATGCTTTGTTACCATGCAATGATAAAATTAGCGTTTATTTATAACAGCAAACGTTCAATAGATTAGAAAATATCAGTGATAAAGGTGGGAAAATGTGTTACTACAGAATTATCTTAACTCTTTCCACAAAACATCATTCACCACGACTACGACTACTTATCAGTACAGGACATTCGTCATCACTCCCAGCAAGACGCAGTGATAAGTAGCATCTCTCGTTAAACAGAGTAACGTTAATCCTAAAGACCGCAATGACAAGGGTTATTTCCTTATACATTTAGCACTAGAGCATAGGAATGTTTATTTTCCTTTTTCTATTTCCCTTAATTCTATCAAAATTGAGAAAATAAGGAAGATGTGTCTTTATTGACGTTGTTGTATTAATGAATAAGATCACAAATAACATTGCTGACTCATATATCTTTTCCGTAGTCCACCTTTCAAGCAGGAAGCTCTTCGTTTGCTTTGTTTTTGTTCAGTATGTTCCAACTGTAAAACGAATTATTGATAGATTTATAGAAAACAAATGTATTGTGTATTATTTATCGTTAAACTGCTAAAATAGGAGAGCACAATAAAACACACAAATGAAAATACAAATATTAAAAGGACCACAGAGGTCAGACACTTGGAATACAGACAGCAATACTTTAAAGAATCACCAACAGTGGCAAAGAACGAAATTTAAACAAATAGATTTTAAGAATAATCGTGTTTATACAGTTTTAGTCATATTATTAATATATTGGTTAAGAAAAAAAAGTTTTCTGTTTCAATGAAAACAAAGTAGACACTTATTCATAATTTACTTTGAACTTGGATTTAGTAAAAATCGTTTCCAATTTCCATGAAAAAACAATTTACACACATAGTAACAACTCCTTTCGAGTGACTTTGCCTATTGTTTACGCTTAAAAATTATAAAAATACTGAAAAGATTTATATTTCCTTAATGGATATATTATCGCCAAATTAAATCTTAAGAAGCTGAAAGGGATAGAGCAAAATAGATGTCTGTTTCCTGTCATTCTTTTTTGTTGCGATGTATTTGTAAAACCGTATTTGGACTACCGAAATAGCAGAATTTACATCAGTATATTGCTCTTGTGTTTCACATAATGTCTTACAGAGAATTACTTGTATGTATCCTAATAGGCATAATTAAAGAACTGCGAACACTTTAATTAATCTTTAATCTTTCTCACGAATCGAAATATATCAGTCATATTCTGCCTGTACAAATACGCACCCGATGAGGTCTTCCCTCGACTCTGGAGCATCCCTTGCATTGGTGTTATCCGACGCGCACCAAAGTTTGTCCCGAATCCACCATTCCTGCCTACCTGAAGTCTTCTAGAAAATGACCCCATATTCCTGACATTTCCTCTCGTGCCAAACGCTGTTGCTACCGATCGACCGTCCGCTCTCATGGTGCTTCTGTTAGGTAAACCTAAGCCACGAAGATTGGAAGTACTACCCATCGAGACATTGGCTGTACCGAAGGGAGAGACACGATTCGAGGTAAATCTGGAATTCTGGCTGAAACCTGTACCTCCGGAAGCTCCAACAGCAGTGGGATTAACAGTCACTCCTGCCGATCCAGTAGCCGACCCACCCGCGCTGTTGGGAAGAACCATATATACTTTTATAGGAACATCTGGTCTGTCACCACTTCCAAATGTAGAAGAAAATGTTCCCGCCCTTCTGTTAGCGCTTTGGTCGTTTCCAGTTTGAACATTTGGAACACGGGAAGACGATCTTGCTACATTTCCCTGTCTTTGCCCCTGTAAACTATTCCCCGCTGTAAACATGTTCGGATTTGACCCTGAAGTACTAACTCGAGTAAAACTATCCCTAGGTCCGCCGGAACTGACTGATGGCTGAGTTTGACTACTTTGTTTTCCAGTGTGTTTTCTAGAAGCAATACTATTTTGTGTTCCGCTCGATGATACCGCAGATGGTATTGTACGTGTTTGAAACTTGTTTGAACCTCCAGATTTAGTGTTGGACGGTTTGCTTGTTTGGAACACCATGTATGGACCACGGGATATGAATTCTGTTCTTGTCGAGGCAGCCTTTCTAGAGTCAGCCCTTTCTCCCTTGGGCTGTCGGTCAACTACATCTCTAGAAATTGATGTACCAGTACCCTTCTTAGAAGGTCGGATTTTCGACGCAGACGTTATTCGTCTGCCTTTCATTGACCTCAATGTACTTCCTTTTACATTGGCCTGACGATTGCCGGATAATTCGAATCTATCTGTGATCGGACCAATACCGAAAAATCCATCGTCTATACGCTGTCCTCTTGCTCCTGAGTCCGATTCTCCTCTGATGTTCTGATCAAAACTTGGTTGAGATTCCCTTTGGAGAGAAAAGTCTTGCACAGCTGTTGAACCTATAACGTCAGCATTTAAAACTCCTCCATCGATAGAAGCCAGTAGTTCTTGTGCTCCACCTGTTCCAATCTGACCATCGCCTGTAATTCTGTTATTTGTGGCCATTCGAGTAAAAAGTGGAGTTCCACCAGTTTGACTTTCAGAGGCATCTATACCATCAAGTGTGTTTTCAATAACTGTTAGTGAAGCATCACTGTCTCTAGAAGGGGTGCTGAAAATTCTACCTAAAAGGTTAGAAATAAGACTGTTTCTAAGAGATGAAGCACTAATGCCTCCAGCATTAGTATCATCAGTGCGGAGAACCGAGGATTGGATAGGTTGTAACAAATTGCCACTGACACCTCCGGATACAATATTTTGCTCTGAACCACCTACCCCGGAGCTGAATAATGAATTTCTCGCACCTGTGCTGCTAGCTTGCGTGTTAGAGCTTCTATCACGTTGTCCATTCATCTCGCTACGAGTTGGGATCTGTCTGGTAAGTGTACTACCACCAGTTCGCACAGAAGGTCGACTTTGCACTGAGGCCTCTCTCATACCTTGATTAAAAGCCGTTGTGTCAACATTTTCACCTCTCATGACAGGTCCGTCCACACCTTGACTTTGGTCGATGCCAATGAATCTCACATCGTCAAAACTGTCAATTTGTCCGATGACGCCTCCGGCTGGCCTGGTTTCGTCCAAACCACTCAGAGTGGACATCATGTTCACCCTTCTACCAACATCTCGGGAAGGTCCGAGAGTCCGAGGGGCATCGGTAAGCTCAGATGACAATACAGAAAGTCCACTCTGGCCGGGAAAGGCTCTTGTCAAACTGGCAGAATTGGCGGTTGAACCAAGGTTACCGGAGTCACGACGCAGCGAATTAATTCTACCTTGTCCAAATGTAACTTCGTCGTCCGAGAGGACGTTGTCCTCCGTGTTGGTTATGACAGTTTGTGGTGAAGGTCCCTGACGAAACAGAGTGCTAAAACTGTCGATGAAATTTTCAATGCTCTGCCGTTGAGCCGATACGCCGTCGCCGTTTTCGGACAGAAGGGTACCAAAGATCTGACCATTCTTACCACGTCCTATTAGTCCCAGGTCGGTCATATCACTAGGAAAAATAGGACTCGCAGACATTTTAACCTTTGATTGGCGTTGTTTCGAAGGGCGTTCAATTTGGCGGTCTTTCTCTCTCATTCCATTTTGACGATCTTGAAACAATATTGTAAATACATGATAACACTTGCAGAATGGTTGTTTCAATCAACACTAATTATACCTTAATATGCATATTAATGACATGTCTTTGGGCAGCCTATTACACAAAAATAAAACAGTCTTTTGAGCAACATTTTCATTTATATAGATAGCCAATCACGGTAAAGGATACATCTAATAAGAAAAAACGAAATCCTAGGACGATCAACATTCCAAAGATTATAGGGGAGTGCTAGTAACCTTGGAATATGATTTGTTCTATCAATCTGATTTGTTCGATTTTATCGTAAGATCTAAATCTACAGTACACATGCTCTCTCCGCACAAGAAATGTGGGGAAAAACATACAAACGGAAAGAAAGAAAGACACACAAGCGTCAACAAAAGACAGCAAATCGAAATGACCGACATGAAATAATTTTGGTACCTCCAATATGTAAATTACTAAAATACATAGCAGGTTACCATTATAACACAACTTGATTTTGTCAATGAAATACTGACTGTTTTACTGACCAAACGTGATGTTTGTATAGATTATACAACAAAGTCAACTTTGTAGCGATGTAACGTAATGCATTTACCTGTGAAAAGAACAACCTTACAGGAACAACATCCTATCAAAATGACAACTCCGATGTACCTTAGCCATGCAGATGACGCCATACCTGTAAAGGAACCAGTCGGATACAAAGTATATCATGAATAATTGGAATGTTCAAAAAGAATCTACAGTGATCCGAATATATTACCAATATGAAAATTATCAGTTTCGAACTGATTACCTATGATATCAAATTCTTTGCTTCGGCCTCTGTGGCCCTTTATCAGGTTAATGAATCCTAGTAATCACCTAATCTAAAGTCAATAACTGTAATATCACATTTTTTGCTCCGCCTGCATTGCAGATTATTAGTTTTCGTCTGAAAAAAGGACAAAAATATCGAAACCTAATTCGAACACTTACATGTAAAAACAAATCAATACATCTCTGCAGTTAAGATATTGTATAGATGTCATTATTCTTAATGAAGATTACCTTCAAATTACCTGTCTGATCCAGAGGTGGTACTGCTCCCAGCCAGACTCAACAAGGAACACACTAACATTCCCATGATAACCGAATCTTCAGTTGGACAGGTATTTTTACACTAAAATGCAGCCGTGGGGGACATTAGGGATATATCAAGAAGGACGTCGAACAAAGAATAAAAACAGAGAAGCAAAAAAATTAATTCACGTTGTCAAAAAACAAAATTAACTTCACTTTTTCGTTATTTATGATAGTAGGATAAAAGTGTATGGAAACCGCAGTTTCATTTTTAAAGTGATCAAAATGTTCGTGCAGTTACAAAAAAGTTCTGTATTTGTCTTACCTGTCCCCATGTATACGATCAAAGCATATTGCATCTGCAGTATTGTTGTACAACATGCTCCTCGTTTGTGCTATTGCAGACAAAATGACGGAAGTACATGTCTTACAAACTGTCCGGTTCAGACTTTAGACACTACCGGATGTAGACTACACGTGTAATAAACGCCTTGAAACACTAGTCATTATACAAAACTTCAATAAATTCGTGTCTGTTCTTAGAATAATGTTTTATTGTATTTTTAAGTCTCAAATCTAATTTCTTGAAGTCGGTGACTTACTTAATTATTCATTTTAAAAAAGTACTGACGTATAATGCCCCCGCCCCCCAATGTTAACATAAAACTGCCATAACAGATGCATCCCATCAGAGGATATAATGCAAAAGAAGATCATGATGTATTCATATCAGAGAAACAAGACGGGAAGACTAATTAGGGGTTCAGGAGACCTTTGATTACACGGCGATATATTTCGTACCTGTGTTTGAGATAAAAGCATTCTCATTCTGGAAAACCACACGTCACATATACCAAAAACATCCTGATCTTCTCTAATGTCTACGATGTATAAGATATCATTATTGTAAACTAGAATATTTAAATGTTCGGTCATTTTGTTTTTCTGATTAGACCCTAAGTTAAATTGAAGAGACCAGGGACCAAGGGGCCCATAAACACGAAATTTGAGAAAGATTTATGCATTAATCATCTCGCAAGAGTGATGACAATTTGTCAAAGTGAAAATCGAAAATGGCCGCCTGTCAGCTAGTTTGTTTTTTTCTGACTAGTCCCAAAATCAAATATGCACAACTAGGGACAAAGGGAAACATACATGTAAAATATAAGAAAGATCCACTGAGAACTTCACGAGAAATAGTTAAAACAAACCTTACTTGGTGAAATCCAAGATGGCTGCCTGTCGGCTATTTTGTCTTTCTGATCTGACCCAAAATCTAATGAGCACAACAAAGGACATAGGGAATCTACATATGAAATTTGAGAGAGATCAGTTCAGCACTTCTGAAGAAATAGGACTAACAATCTGTATTCGGCAAAAATTCAAGATGGCTGCCAGTAAGCCATTTTTTTATCGGTCCCAAAATCAAACAGGTACAACTATGTACCAGGTGGAACCTATAAAAGGAATTTGAGAACAATCAATAAGAAGTTCTCAAGAAATAGCGATAACAAATTTTAGAAGAATTCAAGATGGCCGTATGTAGGCCATTTTTTCTTTCTTTCTGGTCAGACCCAAAATCAAACAGACACAATGAAAGACCAATGGTAATCTACATATGAAATTTGAGAAAGATCCAAGAAGGCCGCCTGTTAGCAATTTTGTTTTTCTGATCAGTCCCAATATCAAACGGGAACAATTAGGGACCGAGGAAATCACACAAATGAAATTTGAAATGTTGTTTACAAAATTATTTACGGATAGATGACTGACGACGGACGTATGGCGATTTGAAGTAATAGTGACAGCGAGTATTCAAAGTAATATGTCACATTGAGTCAAAGATGTGCATTTCAGATAAATCACAACAATATGAAACGGAATTAACTACGACGCGCTTTCTTGACCTTTGATGGTTTGATATGAAGTATTTTATAGTTTAATATAGCAAAAGACTCAGTATACAGAACAGTCGTCACTTTCTGTAAGCGATTACACTGAACGTTGTTCCCGGGTGTCTTTTTACAAAAAAAGGAAACATAAACCAGTAATAAAAAATATATTTCTGAGACATTTACATTGAGGATGTCTGATAAATGCATGTCGTATTTTTTAAAAAGAAAATCAGTCAGAGAAAAGTTGAAGCCCCAGATCCCTTCAGACCTGTATAACTCTCCTATGTGGAGATACGTTTGTGGTCTTCACAAAAAATGGCGGATTTAGAAGATGGGGAGATACTTGATTCGGATGAAGAGGTCTGTTCCATCTCAGTGCATTGTCCTGCTGTATCAAAATATTTTGTGTTAAATAAGAATTAGCACTAGCATTGTACTCTCCTTTAATACCCCTCATATCAAAATGCATTCACGTCAGTCGTTGCAAACGTACATTCTACGATTTCATATTCGCTGTGTTTACGCACAGCCACAGGTGAAAACACCTGTGATTTTACCCATCTGCACACAGGCGCCTTTATCTTGTAATTGAATAAATTGCGTTTTATTCCAGCTTTAATGGTATCACTATAAACTTGTGTCATTAAACAATAAAGTCGACACAACGTCAGAATAATATGGACAAGGCTAATTGTAGTCCGATGATTTAAAGCAAGTGCGAAAATTTGTAGGAGCGATGTATTGAGCCAGAGACATATACAACATATATACGTCTCTGATTGAGCTATCCAGGTTCTAGTCGGGGGTTACACGTGGCTGCTTAACTGAGTAATTATGAACCAGTCACATGAAACATTTTACGTATTTTAATCGGAGAACATAAGTAAACAATATATAGTAGCACATGACGCGACCCCTACCCTAAGGCCAGTGCTGGGACACACAACATATATTATACATTTCAAGGGTCAGCTCTTGGCTTCTCTTTGGACACAGTCAATACAAAGGGACGTGTTCAAACACCCACCTATACAGTAAATAGTAACCTACATGGTGATAGAAGACACTACGCCCTCCTTCACTAAGTTTTCCACCTCAAAGACAACAACAACCCAGGTTTGATATCTCAAAGGAAGCATCTCAGATCTCATTTAGCTTCTACCCTTGGAGTGGTTAACGGAAATAAATTATAGGAAGGAGTAGTAAAAAACTCACTGCCACAGCTTGAGTTTGAACTAGCGACCCTTCTGTTTCTAGAAGGACACTCTACTGCTTGACTAAAGAGAAATTCTCACTAGCTGAGATTAGTAATGCAACCTGTACCCTCAACTTCCTACAAATTAATAAAGAACTTCAATTCAGTTTACCATTTTAAATAGGGTGCATTCAGTCATAAAATACGAAGAAGTCAAACAAATTCCTGACAATCTTGTCTTTCTCCATGTTTTCCTGTCCTGTTTTTTAATGCCAGATATAGACCAATATAAAAAGTAGAAGTGAACCATTACGAGAGACTTATAAACAGTTGATGACACATCAGAATAATCAATAGCTACAGTAAGATATCCTAAATATTCCAGTAACGATAGTGGCATACACAGCGAGATACTTATGACAAACACCTTTCAGAGTTGCACAACAATGACTGATAATAAAACAGTTAGCATCATCTAAGATGTTTATATTACACTAAAGTGCATTGAATTCCCGAGTTGTACCAACACGTAGATTAAATGAAGCCTAACATAACACACGTGACATTGTAGTAGCTAAACACAAGTAGTTAAGTCTAGTGATCAAATACATGCATATGTTATCATCTTACAAGTATAGTTTCAAATTCATGGAAAAGATTTATAAACAATTGCATTGTTATTAATTTTCAGATTCCTTCACCTGTTGAAAACATCAAGAAATTGGATGCTGTCTCTTTGACGTATCCACATGAAGGTGGTGATGTCCCTTCCTCTTTTACCATGAGACAGCCTTCAACCAAAACCTCATCATTGTCCTATGAAAACCAGAAATATCGCAGCAGACACTTAAACCCACTGCCGGACAGTGAGGATGAATCATCTGATACCAGCGATGAAGACACAGACCTTTGGCAGTGTAAAAAGGCCAAGTACTTTTCAAAGCCAAGGATTCAGAGTATGGACCTTGCTCATGAAATTACCTCCCCTCCACGAGGACAAAAGCCACCTTCAAATGATACAGATGAAGATGCAATGGAAAGTCCTCAAAAGAAAAGGAAAGTGAACAATGTTTGGGGTTCAGTTATAACAGAACAGACCATCACCCAATCATTCAAAGCTGGTGCAAATGTTGAAAAAAATGAGGAATATGTAGAGGAAAGGGATGTAGAATCCTATGATTACACGAAGGCTCATCATGATGATAGGCCAAGTCTTGTAGAACAACGGCCTATTCAATCACGAGAAAGCACCGATCCATTTGAAAGTGTTCTTGATTCCATAGAGGAGCTGTACGATGGTGACTCAAAAAAAGCTGAAAATAGAAAGCGAAAAAGACATGTGAAGGATAGGATTGGTAAAAAGGAATATTGTAGTGTTAAAGATAGATTAGGGAAAGAAGAGCATAAGAGTTTGAAAGATAGACTAGGTCATGTAGATCCAAACATACATAGAATTAAAGAAGTAACAGAGGAAGATCCAGAAGAAAAAGTGATTAAGGCCATATTAGATATGTTAGATGAACCCAACACAGACTTGTTTGGTAAGTGTAGTGCTGATTTACTTAGAATGTGGCATTGGTTTAAAATTAATCTGTGGTCTTTTGTTTCTGGAAAAGAGATCTGGAATCAGTGTTTTCTCATAGAACAACCACATGATGTATTGCAGGGTACTCTCTATGTTTGAGTGCTTTTACTAAGACAGTGCTGTGGAAAAAACATTTTTTAATTTTTTTTTGTTTGGCCAAAAAAAAAATATAGATGGAAAATGTAATGGTTACTTAAACTGAAAGAAAATTTTAATATCCACCAACAAACAGCTACGTATACTCTTAAAGCAAAATTTAAAAGTACTAATTTCTGTCACTGATTATGGAACTTTTTAGACACTTTGTATGCTGAAATACAGTAAAACCTTGTTATCTCAAACTCTTTTAATTCAAAGACCCTTTATAATTTTAAGTATTTTGTTGGTCCCAGCTTAACTTTACATTAATCATTCTATATCAAATAAATCAAATAATCTGAAACTCGAAGTTTTCCCAAATTTCTGACAACTTTGAGATATGGTGGTTTGACTGTAAATGATATTTGCCAAAATAATTTCTACAATTATGTAGTCACAATCCATACAGAATAGATTCAACAGTATCAGCAATTATTTATGTTCAAATCAGATCTTTACTGTTGATCCTTTTTATGGCCTGTCCATTGAATGTTAAAGTTTAATCTGGAATGCAGCTTCAATTCAGGAAAAAAAATCCAAATTTGATGGAGTTATTGCCCTTTGCATTTAGAATATTTTGGCAGATGGCAGTTTTTCTTACTTTTTTCTGTTGTTCACAGGTAGAAATTTTGCAGTACTATCAACAGTTTTGCCATCAGTTCCTATCTGTCATTAATTATCAACCTATGTTTGTAATTTAAATTTGTTTTAAATCCTTATCATCTCTCCTGCAATACTTATGTGTACATGTTAATATGCAAGGGGACCGGGGTGGTACTTCATGTGGATGCATATTTCTAGTTTATCATGAAAACCTGTGTTGTATTTATTAATTTTGAATTGTATTTTCCTTTGTAGCTAGGATTGTCCGTGTAATTGGGAGAGGTTTGGCCCTGAAATATGCCCACCAGACGGAAGATGTTGAGTCTGCTGGAGGACTGTGGACTTATGTATGTTAACATGTTAGCAAGTTTTAAGTGAATATATGGTGGGCAAATGTAACAATAATTTGGTGATATACAGGCTTTCTATGACTTCCTTCAACTTACTAAGAGGAAGGTGAACTTCATACAAACTTCCATCCCTGTTGTCCATATTAATTATGAAGTACCAGCTGGGTTATTAAAACTCCAGAACAGCAATCTAAACAGTAGCTGACTGATTACTCACACACACACAAAAAAAGAATTTTTCTTTACAGAAGGTAAACTGAGTGGTGAGACACACTACCTGAAGAAAAGGTATCAATATTATTCTTAAGTTATGCTGTTTTGTTTTTAGGGTGGTGAACGACGTCGAACACCAGGTGGTGTTTATATACAGCTATTAAAGAACAGTAAAGAGGTTACTTCAGAACAGACAAAGGAAATATTTGCAGAGGAGGAACTGAAATATAAAAAGGAAAAGCGGAAGTTTCAGCGAGCAAGGAGAAAGAGGTGAATTATAAGACAACACTTTTTAACATATAATTGCTGTGGTAAAATAGAAGTATGATACTGTATTAGATGGTGACATTGGATGGAAAGGAAAACTCCACCTTGTGGTACTTCAATTGTGTTAATATTCAGACTATTTTTCAGTTTCTGAAGTCCAAAATCAGCATTCCAGATTGCCCAACATCATTCTTTTTTGTCCCTTTTGTGTTGTATGCACATGAATGAAATAACAGGTGTAATGAAAACGAAAATTTACACAGTGATTAACAATTGATAAGAACCCATTTGCTTGTGAAGAGATAAATATGTGAAATAATTCAGCATGGTAAGTTTTGAATTTCATTACTTCAAAACTATTGGCAAGCTATTTCAGTTGTAAAGTGACATAATATATATATGTAGAGAGAGGGAGTACAATTATTCAATTTGTTGGCGATCATGACTGGTTTAAGCTGTAGAATTGATTATTTTCCTTAGTATAGTATTACATTACATTTGCATTTATGCAGAAAATAGATTTGTCAACACTTAAATGTAACATTTCAGACAAAAATTGGGACAGACCTGTAAATAGTAACACAGGCCTCTAAATAGTTAAAACTCACCAGAAAACAGAATACGATCACTAGGTCCATTCATATATCCTATTTAGGAGCAACACTGGTTCAAGTGGTCAAAACAATAAATAAATATGGCATTTGACACATTAGATTACATGTTATACTAGTTCTTATTGAATACATTATCACACAGTTAATTGAAATCAAACATTAAATTTCAAGTTTCATCCTTTAATTCATTGCCATTCTTATTATCTATTTCAGACAAAATCAATTAAGAAAAATGTTACCACAATCAAATTACAAATCCAAGAATTCCAAAGAGGGTGGAGCACAGGAAATGGAGATGGGTAATGAAAATGTTCCCAAAATAAAGAGCTGTGACGAGGATAGTGAAGATGAGGATGGTGAAAAGGACATTGCTCAGGAAATAGAGGCAGTTAAACAGCTACAAAAGGAGGCACAAGAAATGGATGAAAATGAATTTTCGTTTGATGATTCTGAAGTACTTGATATTGAACTTGGTGAGTGTGAGAGTATTGACTGAAAAAGTAGGGAAAATATTGGTCAAGGAAGGAAAAGTTCATGTGAACACTTGAGCCTAGCAGAAAATTTTGTACGAGAGCATTGACTGAACCAGTGTAGAAACAACTATGAGCAACACCATATGTACAGCAGAAATGGATGAAAATGATTTTCGTTCAGTAAATATGTGTTATTGAAACAAAAAAGCTCAGCGGCAACTCTCAAGGAATGAGGTGGTTTCTGTTGTGATGGTTTTGTGTAATTGAAAGTCTTGGGAACAATTGTTGCAAATTTGGTCAATTTATTACAAAATATTTGTTAATATGTTTATTTTGACTGAGAGATGATGTATTATGAAGACCAATAAAACTTCCTCATTCTGATTATATAGTAGTTGGACACCCAATTAACATGTGTATTTGTTATTTTTCTTAATCAAAATTTGGTGTATATCACTTTTCGGTAAATTAGTGCAATGATGAAATAATTTGCATATGTAAACACAGGGAGGTATATTACATTATTATACGTCCCTGGTGAAGTATACACACAGACACTATAATTAATGTATTGATATTTTAGCACAATACTTTCAGCTCAACAAAAAGGTAAAATAGAATTACTGGTAGAGTATTTAAAAACATCTATTATTTAATATTAAATCCTGTGCTAGACCTCCTGTTTCTAGTATATGTTGTGCTAGTATCTGTTCAAATTCTTTATAGATTCAGTGCCTTGTATTTATTGATTACAATAGGAGGATTTCTACAGATTGTATATGTTAGCTTTGAAAGTGCTTAGAAAAACATGTGCAATGATAAACCATCATGAAATTTTACAATGCATTTTTTTCCTTAAACTGTACACAACTTAAGAGATGATTATCAATTCTTACCAATCCCTTCTGTTCCTCTTGGTGTTTTTAAATTTGAAACTGATAGCAAGAAAAAGATAGTTGACGAGCAGTCGTATTGGGAGTTTGACAAAGTTTGTTATCATTATTTTCAGAAGTTCAAAGAAATTCAGTACCTTCAGAAGCACTTCTATATTTCATATTGATTATGGTATTGACAGTAATGATCCGACGATAAAGTCATTTGATTATCAGAATAACATTGTTTCTGCGAGCGAGAAATCTGATCCTTTTACAACTTCTATTCCAAATGTCAGATGACAACCACACTGCAAATGGCGCTGTCGATAAAGAACATATTTTTAAGTTATCTAAGGATGTTTTTTTGACAAAATTCTAAATACACAAAAAGGAATTTAGATTTAAAAAGTTAAAAGGTTGAAGATATACATATATCAAGAAACTGATAACACTAACACACAGTGTTGTCTTGTATGCTATCAGAACTGGAAGATGGAAGAGGCAAAAAGTGTCATAATACCTTTAGTATAAGTCATGAAATGTGGTTTTAAAGTTTCCCACTGTCATTGCAAGGGTATAGTAGTGTTTTGTACAAAGACACAATCATTTACAACATGGGCAGGTCAAATTCTCAGCATCCTTTGAAACACAAACTGCCACTGGAAGGGATTATTGAACCATTGTTGCACCTCAAATCTTTCACCTGAGGTTCATAGACCAATACTGCTGCAGACCTGTTTAAGAAGGGCATCAGGAATTACTGTGTTAGCCTCATGAAATTGTGAATAAAGAATTGTATTTTGGAGCCTTAAGAACATGCCAATTACCTGTCTTAATAACATTAAGTTATGCATGTTGAAATTGTTTTCAGTACAAGTAAACTTCCTTGAGCTGGATTAGGAATATGAAAGCCTTACGAGAACTTTGACCTTTGACATTTGATTACAACCTCCATTCCAACCAGCCAAGAATTCTCTTGTGACCTTGACCTTTCATCTTATTCCACTTATTTCTACAGGCTGATGTTGGTGATCTAACAAAAGTGAGTAAAAAGATCTGAAAAGAGAAGTTTTGCAACGTTTTGCAGAATGATGTATCCTGCTGATTTTGACTATAAACAGATAAAAAACATCAAAAAGCATGAAAAGTCCGAGACAACATTACCATTTAATGAGTAAAACATATTTAATACATATTGTTTATAAAAGGTTTTGTCAATTCTCAAAATCTACCTCAATTTTAACTGTTAACAAGAGTCCTATGGGGCCGGTATTGCTCACCTGGATCTTAAAGGCCAGCAATATTATACATGCTAATAGGTTTGGTATTTCACATCTTTCCAAATTAACGATCAGTCACTTAACCACTTCGATATACTTGATAAAACCACAATGGGTTAATTCTTATATCAATACTGTCTTTCTGTTTTGATTTTCAGTAATAGCTTATATGGTGAACTGGGTGGTATCTCAAGTACATCAACAAGGTAGAGTTAAAAAAATTGATAGACTTTCCCTACTGGGACCCACCCATCTGGCCGCAAGGGGGAGAGACCAACCATATACACAAAACTGATTCCTCTTCACCCAAGCATGTTTCAGACCAATTTTGGACACCATCCTGCAATTCCTGAAGAACAAGATAGATTTTGAACAATTGACATTTTCTGTATTAAGCCCTGCCCCTTTTGTCCCAGGGGACTGAGACCCATTGTTTATATAAAACTGATTTTCCTTCATCCAAGCCTACTTAACACCAAATTTGGACAATATCCTGCAATTCCTAAAAAAAGATAGATTTTAAAGAAATTTATTGATTTTCCCTAATGGGCCCTGTTCCTTAGGCCCCTGGGGGGCCAGACCCACCATTCATATAAAACTGATTTACTTTTCCCAAGGATACTTCAGACCAAGTTTAATTGAAATCCACTCAGTCATTCATGAATAGTTGTGATATTTAATAAAATTGACAGACAATGGACGCTGAGGTATTTCTATAGCTCACTTGGCTCTTCAGGTCTGGTGAGATAAAAACCGTCTTTCAGAAATTAAATCATCCTTTTTTCTCCTGATTTGAGTGATACATGTTATACAGTTGTATTCAATTTCAGTAATCTTACAGAAAGCCTGAGATAAGATTCATGTTGATATATAATGAAGCTGATGAAATAGTAACTGTTGCTTCAGAAAATTCTTTTTACTAGAAAAGAATTTTCCCATGATAGCTTGCATAATTGTAATGCGCCTCATGAAATAAAAATCATACCAAAATAAGCAAAAAATGTGATTCCCAGTTTTAATCTCGTGATCTGGTAATAGGGACAGTTATACAATTACACATCTCAATAACTGTTAAGTGTTGTGCAAACTTCGTCATTCACTTCCTACACATATACCACACTTTCATGAGTTTCATGTGACAAATCCATTTACTCTCAGTCATAACACACTAATGCTAAACATGATCACACAACTAGTACATGTATCTTGGTATAACAGTCAAAGTATCAAAGCAGTTTATGTACCAACTGGTGCTATGAACATATTCTTGGCTGAAACTTAGGATAGTATTACTGTCATATATATTTTTCTGAGGATCCATTTTTCTGTTTTTTATTCATCTAGTTTTTTTCTTCAAAATTTACTTTTTTATGGACACTTCATTTCAAGATGAATATATAAAATGTAAATCTACTCATTTTAGCAGTTCTTTGGCATATGAATTAGAGTGCCCACAGAATCAAAGAAAATAAATCACCCACAACAATTAATGATTCTACAGTATACATAATTGTATTAGTACTGCATGATTACACATGATAATCACCAAAGGTAATTATCTACATAATACCAAGAAATAGATGGTTAATAAAAGGTAACGACTAGAACTATGTCACATATAATATGTTTAAATGATTGAAAGTGTTTCAATAATTTCAGATTTTAATTCATATAATACTATTACAAATGAGACATAATAATGATATTCAGCAGATTTCAATCTACATAATTGGGCACAAATTTTCAGACTAAGATGTTGCAAAGTTTGAGATCTAAACTAGAATGCTGATTTTCATTTATGAGATTAGTTTTGGGTTGAAAGATTAATTAAGCAAAGTTAAATAAGTATTTCTTTTCTTACCAAATTCAGTTTTCCACATATTTATTGCAATTAAAACTATGCTTTCGTTTGCAGTATCATATCTATATGTAATGACATTTTTTTTTTATTTCTAAAGGGCCTGACAGGGGTTCTCAGGACATGGTTACTTTCATAGTACTTGATATAATTTGAAATTTATCAGTCTGCATTATCTTTTAAGGTACATATATTTCTATCACTTTGATGTGAAAAATGTTATACATAGGCGAGCTATGCTTTTCTCCAATAGCTCACCTATTCAGGTGATACCAATTTTATTCTTGTTAAAAATTAGATCAAGAGACCTTTAGGTCCTGTATTGCTCAACTGGCTTTCTTGGGCCAACTTTTATACCATCCAAATTAAAGAAAAAGGAATCTGAATGGTTTGTTTCTTTTTCTCCTATAAGCATTAAACTATTTAGCTATCACCTCTCTACCCTCATGGGGTCAGCACCACTTGTAAAACAAAAAATGGTTCCTACTCCATGGGTGCTTCATGACATGACAGGAAGGTCCTTATGGGAAAATTTGACAATGTATCATGAAAAACTCAAAATATGTTAAACTGAATTTCTACCCCAAGACTGCTATCAAATTTCCTATTATTCTGTAAATGTATATAATTCTATAGACTCTTGCTTCAGCATATTGTATAATAAATGTGTGTAAAACAAGATGACAGCTGAATGATAGATATGTTTCCAGCTTATCATTTCAAAATTTCTTTATGGACATGTACTAAAATACTAAAATAACAATACTAAAATTTCACCACAAAAATGTATTCAATGATCTGTGATTATCTCCCTTTTTAAATTTCACATCTGTACACAATTATAAAAATTTAATGAATAAATTAATTTGATGATAAATAATCATTTTCATCAATATATCTTTTTATATGCTATTCATCATTGGATGAACGAGACTTCTTTTTTTGTATATCATTGTCAATTATTTCAAGAAGATTTTCACTGTAACGTTTCAGTACAGATGGCACCACATAAGGTACACCCATCAGGAAACTGTATGTAAACCAGCTATTCGGATTTGCTGCTACGCCATATTCTCCTTTGGCATTACGTCGCAATAAGTTCACAACACGAATCTGCCCCTCACCAGGAAACAGTTTATTTTGGAAAGGAACACTCTGAAGTCTCCTAGCAGCTTCAAAGTCATAAACCGGTTTGTTCAGTTTCTTTCTCTGTCTTGCCTCCTGAAAAGTGAAGAGCATCATGAATAAAACTCTACTTCTTACAGGTTGTTTCACTGACCAGAATCTTTTTATATCATTAATTAGTAAATAATTTAGGATTTGAAAACAGAAATTAATTACAAGTTATATTGTTTTTATGTTGATCCCCATGGCTTATAATTCTCCCACTGTTAACTACGTAGTTTTGTGTTGTTTGTTCTTCATTCCATTCTGCTTTGTTGCCTGGGATCTATCTCCTACACTTCTTAAGTTGTCACTGGAACCTTATTGAGCTAACAGGTTGTGTATGATGTATCAAAAGAAGCTCACTCTGACCTACATTTTGATCTTTGCCCTAGCTACATTAAAGAAAATGTTTGCCTTGACTCTATCTCCTACATTATACATCTGTTAAATACTGAAACTTCTTACTTGGGGCATGGGTTTTACATGAATTCTTGGCACATAATTTCTATATGGGACTGTAATAAGTCATGTTGTGGTGATACAGGTCAGGATAACTACTTCTGTTTGTTACATTTATTGCCCTGTACTGTGTAACTGGTGGCTGTCTCACTGAACAACATATGGGATGCCCATCTTATGCTATCCAGAGCAGTAAGTATACAGTGTTTTGTCAAATGCCACAACCATAACAGCACAGATGAGTTTGTTTCTCGGTTTCCTCAGAAACTTAAACCATCATGGGTAAGGAACCTCAAACCACATGCCTCAGATTTTCACCTGTCATTATGCATGTAGACCAATGCTCTACCAACTGAACTATCACTGCCCCTTAGTATACATTATCCAGCTGTTTGCATCTCTCTTAGAATCAACTTGTTTATTACTGATAGTTTTCATTGTGTTGATGTTTGATATAGAATTTGTACAATACTGATGTTTTATACAGGTACATGTGATGTGGAATGTGATAAAAAATGTTTGGTTGCTGGTTAATTACCTGAAGAATATGACAGAATGTGCTGAGAGTAGAAGAGATATGCATCCAGTAGGATGGCTGGAAATATACACGTTTTAAGAGAACTTCTTTAGTTTTGGTACAAACTGCCATAAAATCACACCAAGGCACTCCTGCCATGTACATCTGTCCCTGAATCTGTGCCATGTAATATCTTGGAATCCTTCCCCAGTTTTCACCATAGCCAAACAAGTTATGCACTGGTGCTTTGAACTCACAAACACCAATGACTTTACCAGTTTTGTTGGTTATAACTGCATCTGGTGTAGCACCTACCAGACCCTTCAACATATCACTCTCTCGTGGAACCCAGAAACCTGAGTCTCGAGGCTGGTGTGATTCATTACTCCCCATAAGCAACTGGTAAGCTTCATATATAACAACCTCTGTATCAACTCCGTGTTTTTTGTAAGTCTTTTGTTGTGATCCCTCATCATCTTCGAGCACATCTTCTGACTCAGGGTTGACCAGGTAACAAAGAAAATCAAATGGTCGCCCTCTTCCAACCCCTAAGGCTTCCCCAAATCTAGATGCTGTCAGAACTACTTTTTTCCTCTCTTGGAACCATTCCTCTGATCTTTGTTTCACGTCTATCTCCATAGTATATTATCAATCGAGATAATTATCATAATCTCTAAATTTGGCTGCTAATACCTTGGTGCTTTTTTAAATACTCCTCACATTTTGTTGACCTGGAAAACAAAATAAATAAATATTAATTAAATGTTAACATCAATTTAAAATCATTAACAGTCTGATTACTAAATTACCAAATATATGCGAGGAATAATTGAAGTCAATAATTTCCATTGACCCTATAATGACCCTCTCCAATCACAGGTATTAACCTTGACTATCTATATACTCATTCTATACACACAGATTGAGTGTATCAACTGATGAGGTTAGTACCTGTGATGCAATATTTAAAGTGTGAACTCATTTGAAACAGGGCTCTCGATCTGCCAGATTTGGGGCGGACATTTGACCCCATTCCCAATGCAAAATAGTATCTTTTTTCCCCAATTTAGACCCGAAGTTTTCCCAATTCTATGGAAAACACCATTATTTTTCCCAATTCTAAGGGCCCCGGGCCCCAGTCCCAAAATGGGTGTGAGAGCCCTGTGAAATTTGAATTTCTTCAGTGTCCTCTCGCTCCAACATCAGACATTTGATACAAATTCTGATAGACCGCTGTTTGGTGTGGAGCCTTTTCATTAGACAGCAATCTGTCCATCAAAATTATGTGTTGTGAAAAGGAAGCTAAGCTCTGATATTGCTCTGTTTTCAAGAGTTTTTCAGGTTAACTAAGACCTTGATAAAAAAATGGGGAAAGAACACTTCAACCTTAAAAATGATTTTTTTTTTAAAAAGTAACACTCCGAGTTCTGATACTTTCTTTGACAACAAACTCTAGTGTTGGTATCCAAAATTTGTAACCTTACTTTGATAAAATCCTAAATCTGTTATGTCAAGACTGTCTCCAGCAGCTGTATAGAGTACACTTGTGTGTATGTACCAATAGGGGACACATTACATATATAAAATTTTTAAATAAAATGGATCAGAGCCTAAAAAATACATGTAAGCTCCAATACACAGATGAATTCTGTAATAATTTGCTGTGCACATATATATGTACTGGTGTAAAAGAAAGTGGTAATGAAAAAAATCTGCCGTTGCCTGGTTTCACAACAGCTCTCCTTCGGTCTCTAGTCGGATACTCTTTGACTCCGCTAATAATACGAGGAAATTCTCGAGGGTAATAAGTCAAACTGAACAATCTCTACACTCCGCCCTCCTTCACAAAGTATTTGACGACAACAAAAACCCAGGTTCTATATCTCCAAGACAGCTGATCAATCTCCTTGCGCTTGTTATCTTTGATTGGTGAACGGCACTAAATCTGTATTAGGAGGGAATATTAAAAATATGCAGCATTCGGCGGGAAAGCAGATCGAACGCGTGTCAGTTGTAGTTTAATGATATCAAATAAATAACTAAATAAAACGGCGATTGGGAGTTTATCATTCAATAATAGATATAAATATATCAACCTGAATGACTTCCAGCTTTGAACATACATTCTTTTTTCTAGTAACGAACTGATGATTAATATTTAGCAATGAGAAATTTGTGTCTTGTTTACCTTTTATGCAATTACCACTTTTTCCTACCTCCGAGTCTAAAGAGTTCGACTATACATAGTTCTATACAGAGTTGTCGTTCTTTATACATGTACAGTATGTGTGAATTATGAGATTGGAAAAAAATAAAACGAACACAAAAACAAAACTATTAGCTCGTTTTCCAATCCTCTTTTGGTGTTTTTAGTATCTGTTATTGTACTTGTTTTATACAAATGTTGAAAATGATAGTATTGTTTAAGCTAAACCATAACTTAAACTACATCTTCTGTTTGAAGATCTTGCCACTCAACTCGACATGTCAACCAGTAACTCAATCATTCCTCCTTTGATTTGGACATATCTTTATTTATCATGAAATACGCTTGTAATTATACCACTGTTCACCTTTCTTGGAAAAGAAAACTCTCTTTATAAGAGAACGAAGGCGTTTTTTTCGGTGTAGAATGGGGTATGGTGATGTACAGAGTGGAAAAGTTAAATATTCTAATAGAATAATTTGTTTCAGAAGAGGTGTTAAAGATTGGTCAAAATCTCTGGAGTTCTTTAAAATCCACAGTCAGAACTGAATACCGAAGCCAGATATATATATATATATTAGCATATAAGCTAGTATTTCGTCTTTGGGAAGATTGGAAAATTTGTTGCAAAAAAAAATTCAATCGGGAATAATATTCACATAATATTTCATACAAGGTTGGAGTTTGAAAAGAGCTTATCAAGACCTTGCCATATCCTTCAATTATACTTTCAGTTATTCTGGTGATGTGATGTTTTGAAATAAAATTACTACTTGATCATGTCGAGCATATACAAGTATACCCACATGCATGTACACCGCAGTCGTTCCTTCGAAAAGCTGGTTTCCTTGACGACCTAAGACACAACCAACAGTGACAGCTTTCCATTATTTTGCAGAAGCGTGATTACCTGTTTCCAGAATTAGCAACCCTTCTTCATCAACCTATGATATTTACAAGTCACAATTATTTGATATTTTGAAGACAGCTCGTTCCCAATCATGAATATTGCATACAAGCACGTTCCTATTAATATACAACACATTTTGTTTTTGAGGTTGAAGAGGTATTTTATCAAAACATGTTTATAAGAAAACAAATTAATAGCATCAGATGCCTCTATTGTAACTATACTAATGATTACATAATGCATTACATAAATCAAAGTGCAAAATAATGGTACATCTCGTATGAATCATGATTGAACTTTAAAGTCGCAGAAAGGAATGCAGTGGGTAGTGCAAATCCTGTTTCACAAATTCAATTCTGAGTATGTCCACCATTCACATTGATGCATGCCACACATTAACAACTTATCAAATTACACATAAATGGCCGAGGAATGTTCCGTCATGTGCCTGACAAAGTACCATGTAATGTGTCAAATGTCTGGGTTTTTTTTTTTAAAAGTTAAGTATACACAGTTATGTTTTTCGTGAGTAAATTTCTCTGCTACTATGAAAATACACCTACTATGAAAATACACAACAGAAAAAAAAATCAAACATGAAAGTAGCTTTTTTTGGTTTTATTTTCACTATCATAACATGATTTGAATGTAAGCAGACAATTACAATGAAATGATCAATTCTTACATAGTAAACCTGTTACCACTCATATCATAATATCTCGTAATATATATATAATGATATTTACAACATAACTGCAAAACTGCCGTCATTTACAACTTATGACATATGTCACATTTTTATTAAAACAAAAAATAAAAAAAACTTTGTGGATAGGGATAACGCTACATTATCCATTACACCTCTGAGTTAGCTCCCTTTAACTTCTTTTAATTGTTTCCAACTTTAATTTCAAGTCCATTCTTATATGATTCTTTAATTATTTAATAATTTAAACTGTCACCAAGTCACTTTGGAAATCTTCAGAGAGGAGATGCAATTTATTGTAAGAAACATACATCCTTAAGTCTGAAATGTAAAATAAACTTTCTTCAAATACTTCTGGAGTCATCAGTGACTTGTACATTGAACCTGATTTTCAATATTCATGAACACAAAATGCAATACCAATATTAATTTATTAATATAAATATATCTAGTATATGAATAACAGTAGATTTATATACATACAATAACAGTCATTAAGTAATCAAGCACTTATCTTGTTCAATGTTTTCATAAAACAATTACTCACCTTGAACTCTGACTTCTCAGTTAGTAAATGAAAAATTTGTGAGCAAACTTGATGACAGGAAATCTTGTGTCTTGAACTATATAAAAATTACATCATTTAATGAATGATATCTTTTAAGAGATTTTCTATATCTCACTGTTATTGAGCTGCAAAGAGAGTTAAAACATATATATTTGATATATCTGTCAACAAAAAATCTACAAGTCAAATATGACTATTCTTGAAACCCTCGCTCAACAGAAGTGTAATCTTATCTAACTTTAATTTCAGTATCAATACAGTTCATATCAAAGGCATTATCAATTCCATTTAAGGACTGACAGGAAGGTCATAATTCACAAATAAATTCAAATGTCGATGGGCTAGCTCTGCAAGACATTACAAAAAAAAAATGCACAATCAAAATAAAATTCATACCAACCTGGTAATACAATTTAAATGCAATCTCAAATGAAAATGAGGAATTGTAATTTTTCCAAAGTAACTAAAAATTATAATTGCCATCAGTTTTCACTGTATTTAATTCAAAAATTTTAACTTGAGAATAAATACTGAGAAACTTGTCAAGAAGCTCAAACCACTCCTAAATAACACATAATTCTCAATTTAGTTCATCATGATGCTAAATTTGAACCAGAAAACAGTAAAGTGAGTGTATATATATGAAGGATGGACACTTCCTCGGGTCATGCCAAACAAACCATGACAAGTGTACTGATTTCAGAGATACATTATACATAGTACATTGAATTCGGGGTATTCAGTTAAGCCTCAAGGATCTGCAATTTCAAAAATAAAATCACAAAAGGGTCAAAACGCATATTTGTGAATCAAAAACATCCTCTCAAGAGTCTTCTAATTATTACAGAATTTTTAAAAAATATACAATTTTAATTTCTAAACCAAAGAAATAACTTATAAAATATTTCAGACAGATTATCTGTAGATGAGGATTGTTAAAAGGCACTTTCTGACAAGATCTTTTGAAAGTTTGCAACTCAGAAAAAAGTTATTGGCCCAGTAATGGTGACCAGCCTGGCTGCCAGAGATCATTAAAAACAAATATGTATTGAACCTCTGATCACAGATAAGCACCATGTTTTTCATCCATAAACTATAGGTACAGGACTTGGGTCTTTTGTATGATTTGTTTCTCGACATCATTTACCCATAACATTGCAAAATTTAGAAAAATGTACATCCAATAAAATAATGTGTAATGGTATACAATGTACATGCACTGGTATATATCTAGATCTCTCTGATATTTAGCCAGTACTTGAGCTTATGAACAGTACAAAAAAAATAGATAAACATACAATAAAGTGTAACAGTTGACAGTTATGTCCATCCATCAAATATACAGTAAACAATATATATACAGCTAACACATAAAGGAATTGTAACAAAAAGACGTCTTGTCTTCAAAATATCAAAAATGAGTGCCATCTAAATATAAAGGTACTTAGAATACATTCAGTGATTTTCCTGATCAACGAGTTCCTTTCACATGACCGCTTACTGTAAAATCAGTAATTTTTGTGGGGAACTTATTTTTGTTGATTTAGCAGATGCTCTTAATCAATTAATTTTTATGACAACAAAAATGATAAATGGATAAAAGTTGACAAGAATCATAGTACTAACGAGTTTCATGAGAGATTCAACCACAAAATCAAAATCTTTTCATTTATTTTTTGGAAAAGCTCAAAATTTGAGCCCCACAAAAATATATGATTTTATAGTAACAGGTTGCTGAACAACCTGTATAGGATACAGATGACAAACTGACCTTTTTTTTAAAAAAAAAGAAAACAATTTCAATACTTTACGTTGAATAAAATGCTGGTGCTTTTTTATATATATATAAATGCCACCAATATTTTCATTTATCATTAAATATCATTTATTAATAAGTATGCATACAAAATGTTTATAAAATATATAACATCAAAAAAAAAAAAATTATGACAGTGATTTTCTCTAAAATCTCGCTATAAACAATTAAAAAAAAACAATAACAGGCTAAAAAGTAAACTCCTGACCTAGTAAGAGGAAAAACTTATACAAAACACCATGTCTACATGTTTTTAGAAATCTTTGAATGAATGCTTGAAGTTTAAATTTGATTAGTTTTATTTTGTTTTCAATAAATGTGAAATACGAAACAAAAACAATATTCTGCTACAAAGCAGAGTATAAATGAAAAAAATTGGTTTTAAATAGCCTTTATCGAATTGTACATCAATATCACCCATTATGCTCTCTTTGTCATTTTCAAATTAAATATCAACAACAAATATTACTAAAAACTGGTCATTGTTGATCCTTACATGTTTGCATCAGTCTGAGTTTTCAATGTTCCAACTAGAAATATAACGTAACACATGTTTTATCATAAATCATAACATAAAGTTCGACATATGTGACAAAATATTTTTCTCTGGAAGTTTGAAAAAAACAAACATGATCTTTTAAATAGTAATTAGGTTAATTATGTAAACAATAATTCAATCAACTGAACAAACATGGGAAAAAATTAAAAATAAACAGATTTATCACCAAACTTTAAAGGCTGCCGATTCTATCAACAAAATTTTACAACCACAATATGTATTAAGTAGCTGATAACAACTGAGTTCTCAATATCTATATTTAATGAATGTGTCAGAATAGTTCCAGATACCTTTTTTACAGCAAACTACTAAAAGATCTTTTGAGGAAAAATAAGTACACATAAGCGGCTTTTAGAATGAAATATCTTTGGCATTCATTCAATTTTAAACATCTTGTTTTTTCATTAATCACATTTTGAAAAGGACCTATGGCAGAAGTAAACAAAAAATCAATAGATTACTGGCTCGTATAGTGCTATATTTTGGGTATATACTACACAAATTGTGATATGTTAGAGAAAGGTTTAAGGAAGTTTAGTATAGCGTTACTGAATAATTACTTTTTTATCATATTTGGCTATGAACCATCACGGTTAGCAAAGTCATTCTGCTTACAAAAAAAGCTCAGTAAATAGTATAATGTGAAAACTACTGTAATTTAACCCCACCATCACAGATAGTGCTTAATTAGAATCACTGACTTTCAACACATATACACATAAAATGAAAGTACATTTCTTCCTAAACTACATCTAAATGATATCATATTCAAAGTATTACAGTTAAAAAGAAAGCTGTTCTACCAACAAAAATGATTAATTATAACCTTATTGAATGTTTGACTTGTACCAGGCAAATAAGTACAGGTACATTATTAATTTCAATTGTAAAATACCTCAAGAAGTCTGAGCTGATTTATGTTTAAATGCATCTTTGATATACAATAATACTATACTGGTACATATCTTTATACGATAAGAACACAAAAGCGTGTAATTTATGAAATAGTGACATTTCAGAATTACATGTGTTTATATTAGGAATCGAAGTTGCTATCATTTACTAATATATGAGAGATAACTTTAAAGAAAATAAAATTAGGGCAACCTACCTTGGACGTGTAAATGATTGAAATTCATGTAATATACAGGTATGTGTGGTCTGTACATGTGTGGTCATTACAGTTATACACATTTTGTAACTTTAAATTAGAAAGAGGTAGTGTCTACAAAAAACTTAATTGGTACAAAATTGGTTTTTAAATAAAAAAAAATAATAAATACAATGCTAGAGTTAGGTTATGCTTTTCACACCTCTGTGATGTGATTCTAGATACAGAATGACAAAGAAAAAGGCTGAACAACACATGCCCTCATCATCTTAATGGAATGTTGTCAAAAAATATTTCAACATAAGCAAAAACATGTCACAAGCTACATGTATGTTGCATTTAATTCCAGTTATATGTGCTGTTTTTCATATCACACCATGACCAATATTTTGCATCTTCAGCAAGTTAAGAGAATAGTAAAACAGAGCAGAAAAATCTTATTTTCAAAATCCCACAAAGAAATATAATTTTTGCTGGTTTTCAATTACACTTGAAACAAAACCATAGACTTAAATCTATATCTTAGGTCAGTGATATTACACTGTCTACTGTGATGAAAGACATGTCTATGAATTATAAAAATAAAATGTAGAAAAAAAAATATGTGATTAAAGAAGTTATTGATCATGAACTTCAATATTTTCTTCTCCCAAGTCGAACTTAAATGTACTTGGTTCACACAACTCTCTGTAAAATGGAGACTTGTGTATTATCCGATAAGGAACATCTTATAACAAACTGTACTATCATATATGTATACAAAGCCAATACATACATCTTTGTAATTTTGCTTTTTTTTCTTTAATACAATGCAATAACTAGCCTGTGTACTTCCCTGGCACAGTCAAGAATAGACCACCTGAATCAAAGGAGTTTCCAGATATCTCATTTTTGGTATAAAGCATAGAGTAACTTGATGACAAATTTTATCTTACTTCACCAAAATAGACTACAAACTTTTCCTACTTCTAACAAGCACAGTTGGTTAATGTCAAGCATTTCTTTTCATTTATCAATTTCATATAGTTATTTTTTTCCAACGGATTCTTAAAGTCATTTATATAATTGGATGAAATTGTCCAATTAACTTTAATCAAATCTTCACAAAAAATTACCTGGTGTGAAACAATGTACATAACCAAATGATTTATTTCAATGACTGATATATAAGTGGTTGAATTGTATCATTACACAAGGAATGGTATTCATATTGCAAGCAGTACAAAATCATGTCTGTCCATACTTTGGTATGAAAGAAAAATCAGCAAAGGGACACAACTCTGTTAACAACAGAGCAAGATGGCACATTTTCAGTACACTTCAATTATATCTATACCTGCAAACCCAAGGTTCTTGTGTTTCATCTGAAACTTTGCAATGACCTGGTGAGGTAACATGATAGTAATTTAAGTTATATCTATATCATAATCTATACATCTGATTATGTCATGATAAAGTAATTCTGTTGCATACAAATCGGGTACATGGTTAATTTTAGTAACCTTATTTAACCTTATAAGCACACTAATCACTTTACTAACAAATACAAATGCTGTGTGTGGGCTATACTATTTACAGGGAAAACCTATCACATAAATTGAAATATTGAGACATGAAACTTTGAATATGTGTACATTATAGATCATTGAAGTAAGCAACCTCTTTCATTTATAGGATATAACAGTCAGTTGACCTATTTTCCATAATTTCATAGAAAAAGGAAAAGTGATGAGGCGGCAGAGAGGTGTGCAATTGAATGGGCAGTTTTGCTTTATAGGTAGAACTATATTAGCATGCTAAACTTACAACAAACCTAAATGGTACTTGAACAGGGTCATATATGCTATTGTTGGCAGTTGTAGATACCAGCTATATCAAGGATATGGCCCAAAAAACATTTCTGCTAACATACCAAAGAAAAAAATTTCATCTTAAAATACCATCTATTTGGAAGGATTCTGGACTTTTAAAAAGCCCTTCCTTTAATATTGTCAAAATAGAGAATAAATGGTAGGGATAAGCTAAATAAATATGTAATAGAGGTCATTATTCATTACAATAATGCTTTAGCTAGGGATCAAACACAGGACTTCTGACTTACCAGTGTCACGCTAAACCTATCAAACTATAGAGAAGCTCTCCCTAGTTGAAGACAGAAGGGTAAATCACCTCAATGCAAACACAGGTATTTTTCTTTAGGCCTGCATTTAACATTATAAAAGAAAATACGAACTGGCAAACAAATTGCAAATTAATTGTTTCAATAGGCAGTTTCAGTTGGAGACTCCCCTTAAATAAAGCTTCATAATATGTTATGAAAATGTACTGCTCCTTGGTTTACCACGTCCAAGATAGAACCCTGGAGTCCCATCAGGACCTTTGGGTTGTCTCATTACTCCTTCCATATCTAACATGTGATGTCTTCCATTCGGACTGCGTCCAGGGGTTGAGTTATTAGCCAATGGACTGATTTCCTGAGCAGCTTTGAGCCTACGCTGTACCCAAGGACTAGAAGGGGTACTGTCTCCACCAGAGGAGTAATCATAAGTCTTTCTACTCATTTCTGGACTGCTTCTAGGGCTGTTCCTAGGACTGTTGCTAGGACTTCCATGTGTCAGGGGTGACTTAGTGTGCTGATTTCGGCGACGGGACCTAGGGCTTGTCATTGGACTAGATCTTGGACTAGAACGAGGTGAAGTCGATGGGCTTAGTCTATTGGGGTCCAAATGATTTGGACTGAGTGACTTTTGATGATGTGCAACAGAATGCTTTACAGGTGTGGGAGTATCAGCCTCAGACCCACTACTAGCATATGATGAATCATTTTCACAAGCAAGTTCATCAACTCTGTTTTTCTTCCTTCTTTCTCGCCTTTTCTTTTTCTTTTCGTGGTTTTCCTCCCCATCTTCACCTTCGTTTTCCTCATTCCCTTCTTTGTCCTTCTTTTTTTCTTTCTTTTTCTGAGGAGCTAGAAGCATGACTCTCATACCTTTCCGCCAATCTTCAGTATCTGTCATTGTATCACAGGCAAGTTTAGCAGATTCATGCTTTTCAAATTCAACAACGCAACATATTGTGGTACCAATTTCAGTGTGTTTTGCTGCATATTTCTTAACATCCTGTGGTATACTCTTGCCAGGGCGCAGGATACGAATTAATGAAACTTCACCACACTTAGAAAAAAGTTCAGCCACATTTTCAATTGATGGCACCTCCATAGGAAGATTAACTGCAACGACTGAACGTGAAGGTGTCGTTTCGTCATATTCAGGGAGTGGGTCTTTTCGTCTCACCTTCTTTCCTTCTTCATTCACTTCAAGATGATCAGAATGTCTTAAGCTGTATGCTACAGCACGGTAATCTTTTGTTAAAGACTTCACTTTCTTAAAAGAAGTAATAAGTTTGATGCTCACATAACCTTGTCTGTTTCTTCGAACGTGTTTCAACAAAAAGGCATCCTTCAATATGTTGACATCAGAAAAGTAGAATTCAACTTGTTTGATTATCTTGTCGCGTAATTCATCAGTCGGAGGGTGGAACTCGGGCTCTGGGGACTTATCCCGGTCACCGTCCCCCTCCTCCTCGCTCGTGTACACAGAGCTCGTGCCATCTTCGTCTTTTATTTGCTCAACACGAAGAAATGGGGCCACTGGGGACGAACTCGCGGCCACGTTGTTTACTACTTCTGCCGTCTGTTTAGGAGAATTACCGTCGTCAGCCGGTATTTCATGAATGACAGGGACGCTTTCGTTCACAACAGACCCACTCATTGTTTCAAAGTAGAACTATTTCACCTTCGAATGATCCAAAACAAACAGCTTTCCGTCTATAAGGCAGTAAAATTGTAAGGAATTCCCCCACAAAACTGCGTGCCTTCTTGACTAGCTGCCGTGTGTACGTCCTTGTGATGACGTCAAGCTTTCTTTCCATTTCCGTTTCCGCAATGGTATCAGGGGGCATCTCAACATTTTTTTGGAGCAGACTAGTGAATTGAGTGGTCACGAATGGGCACAAAGGATAATAGATATATTTCTTTTTCATAAGAACTTTATGAAACGATCCGAATATTCCCTCCGTTGTCCAATCAGGAAATGGGTTCTGGAGCAAAGATGCCGTGCTTAAAAAACCCGAAACTGAAGCGAGGTAAACTGAAATACTAGTTTTTAAGACGGGTACTGAAAATCTGGAATGGCATTAAAACTAATATAAGAGGGTTTTTTTTATCCAAAACTTTAGAGATACTTTTCTAAACATGAAAATAGCATGTTATAGGTCTTAAACAAAACGTAAATTGGCGATATATTCACCCCACTTGCCTTTATTTTGTGACTTCACAAATCACTTTTGATATTATCGGACACAATAAGAACCTTCAGTCAACCAATCACAGCTCATACTCGCAAACATACCGAGAACAGGTACCTATATAATAATGATTTACTGCATTTTTGACAATTAAATAAATAAAGAATGCTATTGATATATCTATACCACTGTGATCAGCGCAGTTATGATATAGGAATCTGATATACTATGGTGTTAAAATCCTGAAATTTAATTTTGATTATAGTGGTTTAAATATATATGTATATATTTTTATTGAACATGTACAACCTAAGACAACGAACTTAGAGATAGGGAGTTTTATATCTAAGTCTTTGCCATGACGCATTTTTAAAGATATTCGCACTCGATTCACTCCGTTATCAGTTCATATGCAACCTTGTTTCGAATCACTATACGTCGAATTAATGATAAAAAAAATAACGACAGAGATTCACGCTTCGAGGAGACCAGCAGGCTTTGTTACTCACTCCTTAAAACTGATTCAACCCCCTCTGTCATTTCTCACATTTTAGACATTAACAAAAATTGCCAGAAATAGTTCATTGCCCTTTGTTTCAGTTTTTTTTCTTGTAATAATAATCCGAAGTTGTATGAATGCTCTCACAGGTACATGTATGTCCGAAAAGTTTTTCGTGAATAAATACCCTCACTTTTATGGTACTCCACGTTGAGAAAATCCTTTATTTCTAAAGATGTGTCATTAAAAAAAAAATAATATAAGAAAATCTGTTAATGATCCAACGTTCGATGTGTTTGATTTACTTCATCCGACTTTAAGCAAATATATGTATTACACTTTTATGGTACTCCACGATGCGACGGGAAAATCCTTTAGTTTTATGTGTCATTGAATAGCAAAAAAAAATAATATAAGAAAATCTGTTAATGATCCAACGTTCGATGTGTTTGATTTACTTCATCCGACTTTAAGCAAATATATGTATTACAGCGTGTTTAAGTCGAAAACTAGATGCGACGGGGAGTTACGGTGTTAGTTTTATCATGGTTTACGATCCCGGCATGTGTATTAAGCCAACATGTGAGAATTAATTCGCTTGACCAGTCTTTAAAATTCTATGATATAATGACGTCAAAATATTTGTGACGTCATCAACACTTGAACCTAATTCGTTATAGCCAACTTATTTCCGTATATATGTTTTGTGAGTATTAATTTGTGACAGATGGACCTAAATTTAGACCATTACATTGTTTTCTGGTCAAAGTACATTTGATATCTTCGACATAAAGGATTTCGTATGTAATTAACGAAATGAATAATAAAATATAAACGACATTTCCACAGTATGTGAATATCAACAATCATTGGGGTTTATTTTGTCGAACAGTGAAATGCGATTCTCATTTTCGTAACAAAAATATAATAATAAATTAGAATAACGAACCATAAAAATTATAATGGTCACACGGAAAAGTTTGGAAATTTTTAATGCCATGGATTTACAATGACTTTCTTCGATATAGGGTCATATTTCAGTTGTGAATGGCTAAAACACGCGTTTTGTTTTGGGGTTTTATTTACTCTAAGTAAACAGAATATATTTGTCACAAAAGTTAGCGAGATCAATTTGAAAATTGAGATTTATCATAATGTTTTTTTTTGAAAAGGAATTGTTAGGAACTTTTAGAGAAAAATTGCACATGAAATACAGCAATACTAATTAACTCTTATTGATACGGTATTTCAATTTATGATATTCCATAACTCATCGTATAGAAATATCAATTTATACGTTATAATTAGCACGTTTCGAGACAGACATGATAATCAGATAGCAAAATAGATACAAAGATGCATTTTCTAGAATTTGAAACAACTAGGAAAAGTTGAGAAAAAAACGCATTAAGTCTCATACCCCTCTGTTATACATTTCTGATTTTATCCGACATAGTTGACTTTCAAGACCTGATTTAAAGAAATTTTAATTATGTTGGCGTGCTAGTATCGCATTAATATATTGTATATCATTACATCGGACTTGCAAAAAAATCACGGACTTGTCCCTTGAAAATTAAAAACACGGATTGATGTTGTAACAACCAAGCAAATGGATTACACGAAAGAAGTGGCTTTTTTTCTGCTAGTTTGTAAATGTAAGTCATAACTCATAATGTGATATAGAATGTACGAGTTCAATGAATTCGAGATTCGCTCTGTAGTATGTATCTGTATTGAATGGAAGCATTGCCACAATAGAGAAAAAAAAAATTCAACTGCACTATTCTGATAAGGGTTCATACGAAAAGTACAGGATTGGCATTTTTGCTCGTACTTTCAAAATGTCCATTTGATTTTGAGATCTTCCCTAATAGCACCCTAATTACCTCCCATATCAGTATGAAACGCCAGAGATTTATTTTGTTTAATGATTTCTGTTACCTGCTTAATTTCTTTTCATGTGATAACCCTTCATTAATTGGTGATAGAAGCTGTTGAAATATAATGTTATTTCATGCATACTTATTAAATAAACAATATAAGTAATTCTGCTCTGGAACATCACGTAAACATCATGGCCGACAACCAGCTGGATCAGCTTGAGAGTCGCATAACTTCACTAGAACGTCTGGTTTTCGGAACATCCGATAAAGACGCTCTTTATCCGAAGGTACTTACATATGTACACTTATTAGTTAAGTGGTCTTTGCATCAAAGGTCTTTATTTTTGCACTCGTATAAATTATGATGATACAGAGCCATGTTGACTAGATTAGTCATGCAACTGTCAGTGTCCGGTATCGGAAAGTCTGGTATTTACCCAGAATTTCTCCTCACTGTCCACTAGACAGGTAGATGTTAGTCATTCTAGCCAGTAGTATCACCTCATTCACTTCATAGAATTAAAAAGTCAGTGAAATTTATCATTAAAAAGATGAAAATGATAATTTCAAATCAGATAGAAAGAAACCAATGAACGGTCAATGATTATTTATTGACTGTAATCAATTTTCCTGAATGTTTTGATTAATAAAAAGTAAACTGCACTCTAATAATAATGTGTACCTTTCTCAAATAGTGAACAGCACATAATGTGAACGTTTTTTTTAGTCCGACTTGATGCTCTTACATAGCATGTGATAACCATATATTTGATGTGATGTTTACATCTAGTCTAAGGACAGAAACAGCATCTGCATGGATGTCATCATATTGACCGAAAGTCCAGTGGCATCTAATACCCCTAAAGTAAAATAATTTTCCTTGATTTGTATATAAGTATAAATGTAAAATGAAAGAGTAATGAAAAACACCCTGCAACTAATGGGGTTTGAACTAGCGACCCTTCTGTGTCTAGCTGGACACTCTACCACTCCACTATAGGGAAATACCCACTAGTTGAAACTAGTAAAGTGACCTGTACTTTCATCTTCTACATTACTCCCTCCTGCACAAAATCTTCAACCCCAAAGACAACAACAACCCAGACTCGATACCTTCAAGGAAGCATCTGTCTCCTATAGCTTCTAGCCTTGGAGTGGTCAATGGCACCAAATCTGTAATTGGAAGAAGTTACGAAAAAAAACCTGCCTATGCTGGGGTTTGAACTAGCGACCCTACAGTCTCTAGCCAGACACTCTACCACTCGACTAAAGGGAAATTCGCCCTAGTTGAGGCGAGTAAGGGCAACCTGTATTCTCAACTTCTACATAAATGCAAATTTGTATATAGTGTAGAAGCACAGACTAAGAATATTCTAAGGCATTGGTAGAAGTATATGTACCCAAGAGTATAAACACTTTTTTCAGATGGCAATAATATGTCTGTATTGGCAATATGAGCTGATTATTGAAGCTAAAGTGAAGTGCTGTCTTGAACTGGCACTCATACACCATGGGTAGACAAGTACCTGAATGAGGAATTTGGTGTTACATTTCCTAAAGTGTAAGTGCAAATTGCACACAAAAAACATGATTTACAATCACAAATAAAACAAAATTACTTAATTTGTTAGGTTTATAATGAAATACTCAGAAATATGAAAATGCTTTTCCTCAGACAAAAAATAATGTCTTTGATGAGCAGATGTTTATTTACTGCATGACAATGAGTCAGATGTTTTAACAAATGTATGTTAATTCTGACTCCCAGAAATTTTGTCAGAACTCAGTCTTCTTATATAATTACATGTCTGTAACCCTGGTAAAATACTAGCCGCAATATACTACTCGGCTAGAGAGAACTTCTCTTTAGCTGGATTGGTTGAGCGCCAGACTAGTAAGCCAGGGGTCCCGGGTGCGATTCCTAACGGAGGCATTGAGATGAAAAATAACCTCTGTTACATTGACGCCCATGTAGGGACCCGGGAATAGTACTTAGCCATGCCCCATCAGCATTGCTGTAACCCCTGGAAACTCGAGGACGAGTTATTTCCTGGAGGGGGAGTATGTAACCCTGGTAAAATACTAGCCGCAATATACCACTCGGCTAGGGAGAACTTCTCTTTAGCTCGATTGGTTGAGCGGCAGACTAGTAAGCCAGGGGTCCCGGGTGCGATTCCTAGCGGAGGCATTGATGATGAAAAATGACCTCTGTTACATGTCAAACAATTAGTTAATTGAAATTGGATCAGTACATAATAGAAATAAGGAAACACGCTATCTTTATGTACTTTCATTAAATAAGTGCTTGCATAATTTCATTAATGCAGAACTTAATTGACATTAACCAACTTTTCTTGCTTTTTCCCCATAGAAATAATACATGTTGTAAATCTTCATTTATGTTATTTAATCACAAATCTTATTGGATTTCACGCCATTAATTTCGATAATAAACTGAGCTTACCATATTAAACCTCCAATCTTATATTCTGATTGATCACTTGCATTAACTGGATATGGACATTTTGAGCCACCCCAAGATTAATGTTTTAAAAAATGGTGTATACATGATTATCAGAAACCAATTTCATGTAAAATTTCCTCTTTTTTTTCCCCCATAAATTAGAGCTTCCATCATCATATTTGATACAATAACTGTCATTTAAAAGTTGTAAAATGCTGAAACAACTGTTTTTAATGCTTTTGATGTTGTGCAAGCATGATTTTGTGATATGTTTTATTGAATTTGATCCTGCATCAAACTATATCAAACCTTGCATGTCTATGGAGATATAATTTAACATATGCCTAAGTATGTTTTTTATTCTTAAAGTTTGTACCTAGATATGTTAAATTTGTACCTTTCTTCATTGTATTGGTTGTGTTGACATGTTTAATGTTCATCTTTTCTGATGTTTCTAAAAACAGGGTTGCAAGCAAAGAGAAGAGGTAACACAGCTGTTTTGGGGCATACAAATTGTCCATTATACATAAAGCACATACACCCAGCACATCCATGTTCCTTTCAGTGTCCAGTGTTCAGTGTAAAACATGGCCGAAAATTGAAGTAAAAAAAGGGATTTAAGGAATGGGGTTGTGGGAGGGGGGAGTGGGTGGGGGGCTGTCATATACTTATTTTGGTCGTCAAAATTTTCACCTGATTGATTTTGATTTATGTCATCCGACTTAGATTTATATATAAATTAAATGAAATACAATACTCAGTGTTAAATTTGAAAGATCTCTGATATCTAAAGGAATTTCTATGAGATCTGAAAATTCACTCGCATGGAAAATTGAATCAGGTTCTTATTTGTGGCTTTTAACTGATGGGACCTATCCATATGGCATAGAATTTGTTGGAAAAAATCACATCAAAATCACAAATTGGGAAAATTAACAATATATACAAAGATATTCAAATTTCATCATAATCTATGGGATCTTCCCTATGTAGCTTCTAATTTTCTGAAGCAAAGACACAAATATCCTAACCCAAGATTTTCTGTCGATGAATTAGAAATGGTTTTCTTTCTGTTATTTTGAATATTTTGTTAATTCAAAAAAAGAAAAAAATTCTACAAGATTTTGCTTCTTATAAAAATATAGTACCGGTACTGTACAATAGTTTTTTAATTGGCAATAGGTCAGGCAATACTTGGCCCCAAATCCTACCAAGAAAAAACTTGAATTTAAAAAAAAAATTAAAAAAAATGAAAATTTCAACAGTTCATTAAATTTCATTAAAGATAAATACCAAACTTAAATGTACAAATGTAATTGAACTGGACACTGATTCTGAATCCACTTACCCTGCCTAGAGGACACTTAGACACACAGTGACAGCCTACATATTGTACTTCAGTACAACAGTGAATTTATCATCCAGATAGAAACATTCTGCAAATGATTGGCAGATATTTAGCCATCATTAGAAACTATGGAGAATTTCTTTTCTGGATAATAAATTTGAAACTTATTCTTTTACAAATGTATGCATTATCTGTGGTTGTAGTTTACTAACACAGTGATCAGACTAACATGTTTTCAAAAATATTCAGATTTTATATAGCTAGTGTAGCAGTTTTAATCAGATCACAATTTACTGTAAGCCTGCAGGAATAGTAAAGGTTTGGACTAGGTATATAGTAATTAACACAATGGGTGATACACAATAAGTACCTTGTATAGTAATAGTCTCGGTTACGGGTGAAATCATTAGTCATGTTGAATTTCATAATTATTGTTATCAGAAATGTGAATACATGACATTGTTTAATTCTTTGTTCTAACATTCTAAGATTCTAAATTGAAAGTACACATGCATTTATCCAATTCACAAAACTAACATGCATATAATATAAGGGAAAATGTCATCAGGATTGTATAGGAGGAGTAATTTCCCTATATGTTAACTGTTGAAATGACAGTGAATGATCATTAAAAATATCAGCACCAGGATATCAATATTTTTTATGACATCAATCAATTCAAGATCTTTAGCTTTTTATTTTTTTCCTGAATGCCAGAATTTAATTGACAAAACTCCCAAACCAGTCATGTATAATAACATGATTGATAAAGTATACTGTTATTTTACATTATTATTAAGGGGTAAACCTTAATGCCCTAAGTTGGTGAGAGTTTAATTTCTAAATTTATCAATATCATTTTTCATTCACTTGAACTCTTGTGCTGGCTTGTTATACTATTAATGCTAATTAACACTACATACCAACACTACATACCGAGACCTAGATAGATTTAAGTCTGTGCAGTTGTAGTAAATTTTCATTAAACTTTATCTGTCTGTGTTTCTGTTTTGCTTTAGTGATTTACTGTTTACCATAGTACTTGAAATACAACATTTCCTCAACATCATCTGACAATTTACATATCATTTATGTTGTTTTGAAGTTGCTAGAAAGTAAGATTGCTAGAGTTGTAGATGATGTGGTAGTCTGGCAGTTTTAAATTGTTGTGTGCTATTTTACATTTAAGTGACGGCAGGCATTTTTGCCTTCAGAAAAGATATAAATCAAAATACTGTTTCATGTATATATGTCATATGTGATGTGCAGTTAAGGTAACTTTATACTGAATACACGTAGTTTGTGTCTCTGGCATGGAAAATGTAAATCTTTTTCAATGAATTTTAAAGATCATGGAATTGTCAATCGACACTAAATATATGTATATATCAATTATGTAACTTTGATAAGGTCAATATAGAGATTTATTAACCTTACAGAATAGTGTTGACCTCAGGCTTTAGAAAATCATATCACACATGGATTGACTACAAAGTGCACTCTTAATATCAAACGTCACTCTGACGTAGTTTCCTAGATTTGTTGTAGAAACCAGCAACACAACCATATACTTTTGCAATGAATTCTTTATAATTTAAATTTTTTTTAAACAAATTTTAAGCTTTAAAGTTTTGTACATTTCTAAAGCAGTGACAAAATATATTACTGTGGTGTATATATGGTACTGGTAATTAGGAAGGCTTATGTATATATATATATTTTATTAGTGCTACTAATTTCAAAATCAGCTGCTTCACATCCCTTAGCGCTGTAGCTCTTTACTGGTATTAATAACCTGCTTCTTTTACAGTTTTATCTGAATTAACACTTCTTAACAGGTGGTAGTACTATAATAATGATGACTGTAATATTGTGAGAAATTTTAAGTATAGAATGCATATAAAAAATTTAATATAAGGTTTAAGTAAAAGTCATATAAAAATGAATATCTTTATAAAAGTTATAAAATACAGTGTATGATTATAATAATGATTGACTAATTGTACATAATTGCATAATCTTTAGTATTGTTTACATATTTTTAACTCAGGCTGCTAAATGATTCAAATGTTATTCAAATTATTGGTAAACTATAGGTACAATGAGATATATATATATATATATATATTTACTTTTGTGAGAAGATATGGATGAATCCTGTTACCTTTTAATAAGCAGAAATATTGTTAACCTTTCTTAACTATCTATCGCTATTTCATTGATTAACCTGACACAAAATGGACAGCACAGTAAAAACATTAATATCATTTCTACATGCACAGTCAATTTACAATGTCCAGCTTGACCACTTCTTTGGTTCAGACAGAAAAGACTACAACAGTAGTGACACAGTAAAATTCCATTCATAGCACAGGATTTTGTTAGGGATTTGGCAAATATTATTTGATAACTCTGTATCAATTCAGAATTATGCAAAAAGTAATCGCCAACTGATTCAGGCAGAAGCCGTCTTTGTTTACAGACAACAGTGTTTTGTTTGTGTGTAATCATATATAATGCAAAAATTTACTTATCCAGACTGTTGATCAACAGATAAGGATTTCCTTTATATAATTATTGATTAACCTCTTTATGTGCATATTTCAGTGAAAACCAACATGTATTGTTCATAAGGTGATACACTTGTTATATAAATATATATGCAATAATAAAAAAGATGGTAAAAAAAATTGTTTACTGCGATGTTGCTTTAATATTCCTGCAAAATATTTTCATCCTGTAACAAACATACCTGTAGATTGAAAAACCAATGTTGCTTTAATATTCCTGCAAAATATTTTCATCCTGTAACAAACATACCTGTAGATTGAAAAACCAATGGAAATTAATATAGTTTTGTGGTCATGCATTTATGATATCCATTTACTGTATGTGTTTAATTTGAAATAAACATTTAAGTAAGGTGGTTCAAAATTTATTTATTTAACTTCTGCATAGGCAGTTTCAGCTGTGTGCATGATGCAGAGTTTTCCTGTCCACCATTTAATCATGATCTGTTCACCACCTGTTTGTTGGCATGAAAGAATGGTAGAGCGCCACAAACTGCATTAGAGTATCATGCCCCATTATAAACAGAGTTACGGCCCTTAGTTCTTCATCATAGAAATTGCTTGTATTTTTCTGCCTTGTTGTGATCATCATATCAAGATTGTAATTTTGCAGACAGTCACATATTTCATCCATGAATAAAAAAAAATGTGTCTTAATTTATATTTTGTTTTTCTACTTCAGTGCATTGATAGCCTACACAATGTTCAGACAAAGACCAGCACTGCAGTTCAAGGCAAAAAGCGTATATCACAGGCCTATAATAAATGTAGGTAAAACGTGGACAGATTTACCATGACAATCATGTACAGAAAAAAGTATTTGTTTAGCAAAATAATTCAGGTAGTGAGATAACGTTGAATAAATGACCACATTAGTAATGTGAGATGATTAAGTTAACAAGATACATGTTGTAAAGAAAAATGTTTGTATAGCTAGATGATTGAATAAGTATGTTGAATTACATTGTATAGAATACTAAGATAATGTCTGAATTATGAGACAATTTGATTTTAATAATAGAGACTTCACTTTTGACTAAAGTATTACTGACATTATTATCAAAAAACTACGTTGAAAATCCTAGGAAAGCCAGAAGATGGTTTTCTTCTACATTTGTGGTTTTACAAATAACAACTGTAAACATGATAAACACACTTTATTGTAATCTTATCTTAGAATGAAAAAGGCTAACCATTGATTGTGCTTATTACAGTTTTTTTATTTTGTTTATAAACTGATGTACCTGTAGCAATTATTGTGGATATGTAAATTCATTGTTGCTAATTTGTTAAAAAATTTGTTATATAGTGAAATTTAACTTGTGTCAAAAATTGTATATTAAGAATAACATTTCACACAAAGGCATGATGACAAAGTAAAGTTATTTCAAATGTTTCTGCTGATTTCTCGTACAGTGGTGGACATCCAGCAGTACCTTGATCCATCTTATACAGACGAGATGACAGTGTCGGACTCGGCCAAGGCTGATACCCTTATTGCAGGTTTGCATCAAAATCTTCAGTATTTCTCAAGAAATCTTCAGTATTTCTCAAGAAAACACTGGAAGGATCTTCATCAAATTGCACGTCTAGGTTCCCTTTGGTCCTTGTTGGTAAATACACTGTCCCAATAATCAAAATGTCAGCATTACCAACAGAATGCAGTCTTTAGTTTCAGTGGTCAATGTTTGCACTGTTCTAGTGTCGTATGTAATTGATCAGTCCGATATACTGTCATCACTTAGAAAATGACATTATGAAACTTCGCTAAATCACTCTTTTAAGTATAAGTATGAATTTCATTTTATTTTGCGACGATTATAAATAAAGCTATCAGGTTATAGTAGTCAGTCTTGTTGACCTGGATGTATGAGGCCTTACTGTTCAAGAAAATTGGAGTACCCAGGGAAAAGCTATGTGGTCGGGCAAATGACCCCAAACCTTTCCACACAGTTTGGGAATTGAAGCAGTTGTATCAGTGTTTCTTTAAAGTCCTCGGATAGAACCTGACCCATGGTATAACGTAAATGTTTGGTGTTTTCCGGTGTTGTTTGCTTGGATATCAAAGGATAAGTAGGACAAAGGGAGAATCAGGAAAAATCTATTATGATACATCAATTGTAAAATACTAGGTACTTGTTGTCTTGTGTTCAGAAAACTTGTGACTTTTTTGTTATGATTGATAAACACTAATATGATTCTTTGAATATTTTACTGAATGATTCAATACAACTGAAAATTCCTGTGACAATGAGAACAAGGATAACTTTCAGACTTGTTGAGAAAATTGAGAAAAACTCCCAATGGACATTATGAACTTCTGACATAAGAATTTGTATATGTTGAATTCATTATTTCATTGGGATGTTTGAACATGGTAACAAAGAACCCCTCATTACAGCACCTCCATGTTTTCTTTTTGTTTTAGATGAAGATTTTATCCGTCAGCAGACTCTCCGACTGGAAACAATGGAAACACTTTCGGATTGTATAAACAGTGAACACATGAAAGGTAACAGAGTGGCACAAGTTTGTGAATGAAAAGTATTTTTCCTCAGCCAACATAATTAATTTTCTCAATTTCTACTAGTGGGATTGAGCTCTAACTTGCATGAAATGCTCCTGAGATGGTCCTGACCAACTGTTATTTTTTTAGTATGTCTGAAATTCACTATGGCGGCCATCTTGAAAAATATATTTTTAAACTTCTCCAGTTCCACAGGTGCCATTAAGGCAGAAATTGATGGGAATGTTAAAGAAAGGTAGCAAACTTTGACATTGCAGCCAGGGAAGCCATTTTGTAACGTGATTGCACAATCATGGTTTTTTCCTATGCAACATCTATTTCAAACAGTTTCACCTGTTTGATTGAACTTCAACTTTACTGTCAAAAAACACATTACAGTTGTTTACTCATCACCAAAACTACCATCTGCATCATGGAAAACAGCTTCTTAGTAAGGTTTCGTTCAAAGTAGAAAAATAACCCTTCTTCCTCCAGAAAGTTTTTCTAGTCATATGATGTTTTATTTTAGCAGTGGAATAAACTTATGATGAAAATACATACCTAGAAAAAAAATTGATAGAGGAAACTGTAGCAGGTTTTTTTATCAGTACAAAAAGTACATTCTGTTTGCTTCAAGCATTTTGTTAAATCCACCAAAATTTGAACTATTTAATCTGCAATAAGTCCAGGGGTCAATACAGTGCTTCTTACTCAAAGTTAAGGGGATGGATTAATACAGGACAATAAAATAGTGTTTAATAGTGTATAATTTTACTCTTCAATTACATATTAGGGTGAAATATGGACAAACTATTGTATACAAAGGTTACTCTATTGCTTATTGTCTTTCTGTCAGTCTACTGTAATATTCATGAACAAACAAACACTAAACTGTACTAGAGTAGACATTTACCAGTGGTATTGTGAATAGGGGTCAAAGTTTAGATGCATACGTACTTCAGATATGGAAATTAGAAATACTGAAAAATTGTTAAACATAGATTCCTTGAAATTAATGATAAATAGATATTCAAATTTCATTCATGACTTTGAAAAATATGCTTTTATTATTATCATCATTATTTTCATTCTACAAGATAATTAAGAAATCCCTAAATTTTTAACTATCAAAAAAAAATATTATTATGACTTGATGCTGGGCAGTTTGATAAGTTGCGTATTCATACACTATTTGTAAACTGCTACTTTTGTAATTATGAGATTAAATATGCTACTTGCTGTCTTGTGAATAACTTTGAATATCATAATCAACAAATACCTTTTTAAATTGTTATTGTTAAATTGTCTTTTAGTCATTTGTTAAATACTATCATTTGTTTTATTTGAAGCTCTGCCAAAGAATACAAGTAAATTTCAGGAACTCAGTCGAGCACAACTGAGCCAACAGGTAATTGTACTTGATGGCAGCAGTTGCCAGAAAGTTAAATAGTAGAATATCTGCCGAATTTATTGGAACAATCAAGAATTTTTTTAAGTCTTTATTCATCTCAATTAGAAAAAAAATAATTTAAAAGTGTGATTCGTGTCCATTTTAACAATCTTGATATTTTTTTTGTAGTTTAAGTTTGAGGATTTTTTTGTTGTCTTCAGTATTTTAGTTTAATGAAGCTAACATTTTTGTTTATGTGATGCAGGACAAGGCAGCAGAAATTACAGATGAAGTGAGGAATATTCTATCTGCCTACAACAATATTGTATCCTTTTTACCACTCTAACCACTGATATAGGCTTATTCTGTACATATATTCTTACCCAGAATTATCATGTACAATGTCCTTTAGAAGTTGAAACTCGTCCTCTACAGAAGAACAATTATGTAGACATCTCCTTACCCAGAGAGATCCTGTTCAAAGTCCTTTAGGGTTGTAACTTGTACTCGATTACGAGACACATCATCATGCAGACATCTCCTTACGTAGAATCCTGTACAATGTCTGATAGTAACGGTAACTTGTAATCGATTACTTGACGCATCATCGTGCAGACATCACCTTACCTAGAATCCTGTTCAAAGTCCCTTTGGAATTGTAATTTGTACTCGATTACTAGACGCATCATTGTGCAGACATCTCTTTACCTAGAATCCTGTTCAAAGTCCTTTTAGGGATTACTAAAGTATCATTGTTTAGAGATAGCCTTTCCTTAAATCCTGTACTCAATTACAAGCAGCTTTATTAGCCCACCATCTATTCAAATAGATGGTGGGTTATTCAAATCGCCCTGCGTCCTTGGTCCGTCGTCCGTCCGTCCATAAACAATTCTTGTTACCGCTATTTCTGGAAAAGTACTGGATGGATCTTTCTCAGATTTCATATGCAGTTTCCCCTTGGTCCCTAGTTGTGCATTGTACCTTTTTTGGACTGATTCGAATTCAAGATGGCCGACAGGTGGCCATCTTGGATTTTGGAAGTAAAAGTTTGTTACCGCTATTTCTGAGAAAGTACTGGATGGATCTTCCTCAAATTTCATATGCAGTTTCCCTTTGGTCCGTAGTTGTGCATTGTACCTTTTTTGGACTGATTCGAATTCAAGATGGCCGACAGGTGGCCATCTTGGATTTTGGAAGTAAAAGTTTGTTACCGCTATTTCTGAGAAAGTACTGGATGGATCTTTCTCAAATTTCATATGCAGGTTCCCCTTGGTCCCTAGTTGTGCATTGTACCTTTTTTGGACTGATTCGAATTCAAGATGGCCGACAGGTGGCCATCTTGGATTTTGGATGTAAAAGTTTGTTACCGCTATTTCTTGGAAAGTACTGGATGGATCTTTCTCAAATTTTATATGCAGGTTCCCCTAGGTCCCTAGTTGTGCATTGTACCTTTTTGGACTGATCCGAAGTCAAGATGGCTGACAGGCAGCCATCTTGGATTTTGAGAGTAAAATCTTGTTACTGCTATATCTGAGGAAGTCCAGGATGGATCCTTCTGATATTTCATAGATATTGGTTTCCCTTGGTCCCTAGTTGTGCATTGTACCTTTTTTGGACTGATTTGAAATCAAGGTGGCCCACAGGCAGCCATCTTGGATGTCGACAGTAATACAGCACAAGCATATTGTCCATTATCCACCTGTAACTGACTGCTATCTAATAATACTTTGGGATCTTTTTCAAATGATATTTGCTAATAGGTGCTTAATAAAAATATCTTGTGCCATCATTGAGTACATTCAATGAAGACCAGTTCATGAACATTTACAACACCTGTAACAAACAAAAAAAAATCTTCAAGAACTGAAAACAGATCCTCAAATGGTGGGCGCCAAGATCCCTCTGGGATCTTTTGTTTAAAATCTATGATACCTTTGTTACAAGAAAAGAGATTGTAGATTCTCACAATGTACAGTACATACAGTCTCTTGTTTTTCCATATACTACAGTTTTAACAGAGTTTTAAATCATAATAGAAAATTATTCATTGATGCATATGATGGTATCCAGCTGACAATGAAGGTAAAAACCTCAATGCTGAGATAAAAAAAATCACTTTCTAGAATGCTTCAGAGATATTCCTCTAAGGTAACAATATCATTGGGTTATTGTATCTGAGAAATTGGCAGCCATTTTTTTTTTTTTTTTTTTGTAATTATTATTTTTTTTTTTGCAAAGTTTTTACAAAGGCTGTAGACAAATACACAAGATTGGCAGCCATTTTAGCTTTATATCAATTGAAGTGTTGAACTTTATAGGAGTGTATTCCTGACTGTCCTAATTTTCAGATAAAATTTTTTTTGGGACAGTCAGGAATTGTGACAGTAATGACAAAGAAAACCACAGATAAGTGATAATTACAGAATTTATTTGAAGCACAGGTAAATCCAGGTAAGTAAGTCACAGCACTAAACTTGATGAAATAAATTTAAGCCTCCTTGTTTTGACAATATATAATAACACAACTCAATATTCACACAATCACTTAAATACTTCACTTCGATATTTTGTGTCCATTTCATAATCACTCCATGTGTAGCAGGTACAAGGTCAAGAAAGACACAAATGAAGAGCCATTTTTGTCTTCTGTCAAAAACCAAAATGCATCTCATTTTAAGACTCAAACAATGTATAGTATTAATCCTGTAACCATGATTTATATCTTGGACCATTTACATGTGAATACTTTGACATTCACCCTTTTAATACCGTATGTTAACCTGAATTTTGCCCGAGGACATACTCCAAAATAATTGCTCTGTTAAAATGTTTGTCTGGAGAACAACTTCACAGACATTTAAATTAGGATGATGAAGCACGATGTATACATTAGCCATACCATGGGGATGTGCATTATATCAAATTCAGGGCCTGCAGTCCATAATATAGAGTTATTGTCCCTTGTTAAAATTTTGTATCGTGAGCGATAACTATGCTTGTGTTTAACCAGGATAATCAGACTTGGTGTATACATTTGTCATACTAAGAGGATGTATCAAATACAGGGCCTGCAACTCCTTAATTACACAGTTTTTGCCCTTTGTTTTACCTTTTGCGTCCATAGCGTAACTTTGTTTAAGCTAGGACAATGAAGCTTGGTGTATACATTGGTCATACAAAGAGGACATACCATGGATCAGATTTGGTGCTTGAAACCCCTTTATTACAAAATTGTTGCTTTTTGTTAAAATTTTGTGTCCAATAAAGCCCTTTTCGGGAAGCAATCATCTGTTTCACTTATGCTCTTGTCCTGTTAATAGATTTCCTTATCCAGAAAGATTGTGTGGTAAGATGGTTTTAACTTTCTTTAACCTACATAAGAAGTTCAAATAATTGCTTAGAAACATGCTACATGAAACAAGAATAATGATATTATATTTAGGAAGAATATCAATCCTTTTGACCTTTTTTTTGTTTATACTAATCCTTAACCAACTTTCAGGTATCCATGGCATCCAAGCAGTTTGTACAATGGGATGAAATTTTGACCAAATTAGAGATGGCGAAACTTTCTAAGAAGTGACCAAGAATGTTTATTGGAATTAAACATTGACTTACTTATGCTGTCAGCAGAACTAGTGCAATATGAAGTGACGAAGTGATCCATGGTCACCTTCACACAATTGATCTTTTGGAATTGAGATTCTATAGATGTTTATGTGACAGTGTAAATTCCACGTACTGGGTAGTTGACAATCTTGAACCAAGTCCTAGCTTGAATGGAGCTTAATTCTGTGACAGGTTGTCATTCTTTTAGTTTATTTTCACAGTCTTGAATGGTGATGGAATACAGATAAATTATTTGAACAAATTCAACATTAACAATCTTATTTCAGATGTAAATTCTATACTTGTCCAGTTTTTGATTATGTAGCTATAGTAACTGCTGGATACATTTATAAAAGCTTCAGGTGTTAAGTGCTGTTCATATCACTAGGATTAAGTTGATGCTTGTAGATAATTTATTGCTATTTCTAGCTCTATAACTTATAAATCTGTCTATTAATTAGACCATACTGGGGGAGGGAGCTCACACATTCGTGTACACAGTGCATTTCCATGGTGACCAGCAGACAGATTCCACAAGAGTGCTGTTGTAGAAGTTGAATAAATACAACATCGCATTGGGATGAAGGGCTTTAATCCAGAGTGTGTATATATATCATCATCACGACAACACATCGCATATGTCAAAACTAATCATTACTCTTCATTAAGGCAGATCGACGTTGTTTTGGTCACTGTTACCCTCTATGTATTGTTATTAATTCCTGTTGGGAAAAACCACCTGGCAGATGATGCTCTTCATTGTTATTACACTATCTGTCTGTGTTGTCTGAGATTTGTATCGACATATGTTGAAATTTCAATTGATTGACACATTCTGTAACAATGTCATTGTAACAACCATATATTTCCACAACAATGAAATGATTACTTTTACTGGTATTTGTGTAATGAGGGGAACTGCTTCCGTTGTACCTTCTCAAATCAGAAGCTATTGATAAATAAATCAATTTGTCGACCTTAGAATGTTTTCTTTTAAATGATTATTCTTGTTGTTTGTGTTTTTGTATAATCAGTTTAAAAAGTGGATGATTGGTATGAAATATTACTATGTTTCAGCAGGGGTCAACAATGATTAAAAGACTGTTTTATGGTTTCCATAGTTGCAGAAACATGAGGTTTTCCCCCCAATAAGTTTAATTCTATTCACGCGATGTAAGTTCAATTATGAATGCCCAACGGAGGTACTCCTATCACAAATAATATAGGATCAAATATAAGTATAAATGTGTTTGTTGAGGAAGTATTCACAAGCATACACATTGAAACTTATCAGTTTTTATACATATTAAATACATGTAAATTCGAAACTATTTAGAAAGATTATTGGAAATTTGTCTCTGGGAAAAAGGGCATTTTGCTCCTCAATATTTTGACCTCATAATTATTCAATATTGACTGGTGTACCTAATCATAAAAGTATAGTTCAGAAAGTAATTTTATGAGTGTAGTTGTTATTGACTGATATCAATAGATCAGGTGTGCCAAATAAAGAGCACTTCAAGTATATATACAAGTAGTCCTAACTATTCTGATATTCTGTCAACTTTTATATTAGCTGGTCCAGAAAGACTTGGAATACTGAATCTAACAAAATCATAGAACATCTGTCAGAGCATGACTTTGACAAATATACAGATTTCAGTGAAAGTAACAAAATGGACCTGACCATTCTCTCTTGATGGTAGCAAGTCATGATTTTTACTTGGTAGTTCATGAAGAACATGAACTGTTTTAACTTGCAATACCTATAAAGCAACTCCTAGCCACTGCTGAACAGGGATATCTTGTTTTGGCCCTTTACAAGTGTAATATCCTATCAATAATAACTTTGTATTAATATTT